CTCTAGTAAGATTGGATGTTTCTACTTTCCATATATACCAAAATTGCTATACTTGTATTGGAAATCACCACCCGATAAATATATTTGTGGGGAAGTTTCTTTAAAGGTAACACAGAGAGCAAGGTCATTATTTTACATAAGGTTATACATGTAATATGCACATGCGTGGGTTGTCCCCAGCGTTTCCGGTCTCAATATGAACTTATTGCCAATTCTCAACCAAATCTGTCCATGTTGCTATAGAAAAGTATCGCAGCATATTCTTGAAATGCAAAAGATGAATTTCATGTGCTACAATTGCCAATACATGTATATATATATGACAGCATGACACTCTCATTTACTATCAAAATGGAGAAAACCGAATGCAGAGCAGTGATTATTTATCTTTATTTGAAAGATTTTACCACAAAGCAAATTCATGATGACATGATACAAACATTAGGTGACAATTCTCCTTCGTATAGCCTTGTCACCGACAGCCGTAGCTATCTTATTTGCATTTCGTTTTTCAGAAAAGCGATCCGTAGTTCTAAATTTAGACCTTGGGTGTAAGTTTTTGGTCCCTACCGCTTCTCTAGCAAAATCTGTCCTTTTCCCGCACAGTCATTGCCTGTGAAATATTTTGATATTTTTATATTGTGTAAAAGTATGTCTTTCTAATTATGCATGCTGCTTATGTATATAGTGTTCTTAAACATTGGAGATCACGTAACTTAGTGGGCTAGACGCTGGCTCGCTAGCCTGGAGGTCCGGTTGTTCGATCCCTGCATTGGTCGAGAAAGTTCATTCAGATTTTCCTGCGTGGTTTCCCCTTGTCAGTGATGCAGGATGGAGTGCCTGACAAGGGCAGCTGTCTAGTCGTCTGGATGGGACAAAAAACGGTAAAAGATCCCTTGGCAGTTGGAATTCGATATAAGAGTAGGCCGTAGCGCCGCTGCCCGGGCAAAATTTCCCTCATAGCACACTGTATTGCGTATGCCCGTCTTCATTAGCCCAGGTTAGGAGCAGAACAGTAGGACGTTAAACCCCATTTGATTTGATTTCATGTCTTAAACATACATTATACAAGAGCTAAAAGTGACTATTTACCTAGATCACAGAAGTTTGGTTCGTTTAACCAAACACATTGTTTTAAAAACAAAATTTTATTTTTCATGATTCATGTTAAAATGTAAAACGTTATAATACATTTGAAAATCAGTAAAGGACCACTCAATAAATAAAGCAAACAACTAATTTGTAGTGAAGATGAAATGATGGGAAAAATAAACAAACAGAAAACAATTTCCATTCTCTTGAATTACAAAACGGCAGAATTTTTGTAAGGCATATACACAAAAGGTTCACACAAAACCCTTAGACGACGCAATTGCGTTTGAATAGATTCAGGAATACAGTTTCATAAAGCGTTTGTTCAGCCGTGTTATTTTGAAAGAGATTTTCTATGACTTAATAATTTAAAATATTTGCATCCTTGGAAACAACACTTAAAGCTGTAGCTGACAAAATGTCGAACTCTGTTGAAGTAACCTGACATTGTTAACAATGTGCCGGATATGTATTAAACATGCATTATTCTAGAGCTAAATCTGCCTATTGAAATGTTATATAAATTGGATAGACATTACTGAACTTACCAAGATCATAATCAACTCTCGATGCCATAGTAGATTGTGGGGGATGTGGTTACCGTAAAAATGGATATTCGAGACTTTATTATCGTAACTATTAGTAATGACAATCAAGGTCAGCCTATAATTGTATCGCTAATATCTGGGCTCAGAGTGGAATAATTTGACTGAAATTTTCGCCGTTCTGAACTAAGCGTATTATGACAAAATTAACTGCTGATTGAAGGATATTTATCACTAAGCGTCATTCATAAAATTGTTAAAGACTTTAATTATCTTCTTTTATAGCGAATCTTTTTCACTTGCGTGGGGTGCTTCAGTGCTTCCGTAGTTTATCGTGGCGGATGTAGTGCACTATTTCCGAAAAAATAGGTATAAGTAAGCGTCAATAGGTATATAAGATATTCCAGAAAAAAAAACATTCGGGATCAAAATACATTTATTTTGTTTTTAGTTTGGAGTGTTTTCTTTGCGTTTTACATTATACAGAAATGAAATGTTATAGCAGCATAGTAGATCGAATATGGAAGGCTAACCTGGCCACTAGCTTACCAAATGCGACGTGTAACACTGCCCCTTCTATACACATTCTGTCATGGCCACTATGGTATGACTAACATATATGATATTACAGCTCTCATATCTTGGATTTCAATCTGGCTTCACGTTGTATACAATATGGACTTCTCCACAAAGTTAATGAGCGGAATTTATAACCGATACATTAGCTCAGCTCAGCATAAATCTAAAAATTAAAATGTTAATGTCTGTTGGTCTTCCTCGACCCGCTCTGTCTAGACCGGCTAACTTCTGAAAACGCCGAAAAGGTTTATTTTATACTCCTGATTTCTGGATGAGCGATTTTGATTGGTTAACTATATGCCAGAATATGCAAGGTATGTATGCCTAATTTGAAGGTGATGGGGAAACTGATTACTTATCATAGAGGTGGACATGCACATTTCTTGCAAGTTATCTTTTGGACAGCTAGCTCTGACATCATGTCTGGCATATCACACACGTATTTATGTTAACGCGCAGCTACGCTATCCGGTTGAAAGAAGAGGTTGGGACGGGGGGGGGGGGGGTCCGTTTCTTGATAAACATATTATTGAATGTATTATCTATTTCCTTAGCTTTTCCTTTTTGTCCCATCTACGTTTACGAGTTAGAAACCAACCAATATTAGGCCATGATATTGTCATGTGCCCCCAACCGTTTAAGAAATTATTCGTAATATGATAAAGTACGAGAGCTCTAAAGAACCTTCTGTTTGCTAAATCCACACACTTTTCCTTATTCATGCAACATGCAATAGCTATGGTTACACGACATGGCAATACAAAAATCGAAATACTTTGAAAGTTCATTCAGTTTACTGTCCTATAATAATGCACTTTAACAGACTACAAAAACATAACTGATGTAATCGTTCATTGATTCTTCTTTCATTGCCCTAATTCTAAAACACTAATTCTAAATATTGTTAACATAACTGAATAAATAAATTTTATGTCTGCTAGATATAGTTATATCTTATTTAGAATGTTCTGTTAAGCATCTTTTGTTACTTGTTAAAACTTTCTTTTTAAAATTCTATCCTAGCAAACGTCAATTCGTTAATTGTTATCTCGCCTTGGGCTTCTAGTGTTGTGAATTCAGGCTACTACAAGTTTGGGACTTTTATTTTTCTAAGTAAGGGATTTTGTTAATCACATATCTCCCCACTTTCGAATACCAATCAGCTGTGGGCTATAAAAATCGGGAGTTCTGATTGTAGGCTTCCAGGAAGCAGCTTCGGCTCTCCTATGTCTTGTCTGCAATATTACTTCTGTGGAAGCAGACGTTAAAGCACCAAGATACTACTACTACTACTATTGTAGGCTTGGGGGCTTAACCTTATAACCACCACCACCCCATGAAACAAACATTTAGGGTGGCCCAGAAAAAAACGAGTACACTATTTAAAGTGGAATAATTCAACAATTATTGTACCTATATCATTAACGTTTCACATCTGGTACAATATGAATGTTCGACAACTTCACTCCAAACTGTAGGCCCATCGCTCTGATAGTGTTAACAAAGTAGGAGTTTTAATAAAAGAATGTCAAATTATCTTTTGCTGGACAGAGAAGTCACATCACACGAAACAAAAGGGCACCCCCCACCCTTTTCACACAGAAATCAATTTTCTTATTTCTTCTAAGTTTAATTTTACACATTGTGCCTGAATTGTATCCTTCAGTTTATTTCCCGTTATTTGTTTCGTTCGTCCTTTCATAAACCAATGGGGGGTTCGATGGCTGAATGGTTAGCGTGCGCGCGCTGTATCATAAAGTCTGTCATTGAGTCGACTGGCGTGGTTTCGAATCCCCGTTTGTACGTGACAAGGAGTAGGGTCGCCTGTCCAACCTCATGGGTTTTCTCCGGTTTCCTCCCACAGCTAAAGATCCCTACGCGCAAGCGAATTATGGAAATAAAATTGAACCATATGTTAGTCCCGAAATGACCTAGTTTGTGTCGAGTGGACGTTAAACCCCATTTCTCTCTCTCTCTCATAAACCAATTCCGAGAGGCTGTTACAGATAGCGTAATCCATCGAGCTGTCATTAAAGAGCGAGAGATGGGGTTTAACGTTCACTCGACACAAACTAGGTCATTTCGGGACTAACACATGGTTCAATTTTATTTCAATATTTCGCTTGCGCGTAGGAGTCTTTAGCAGTGGGAGGAAACCGGGGGACCCGGAGAAAACCCACGAGATTGGACAGGCGAACCTACTCCTTGTCACGTACAACCGGGGAATCGAAACCATGCCAGTTGACTCAATGACAGACCGTATGATACAGCGCGCGCGTGCTGAATGGTTAGCGTGCTCGCGCTGTATCATAAAGTCTGTCATTGAGTAGGTTCGCCTGTCCAATCTCGTGGGTTTTCTCCGGGTCCCCCGGTTTCCTCCCACTGCTAAAGACTCCTACGCGCAAGCGAAATATTGAAATAAAATTGAACCATGTGTTAGTCCCGAAATGACCTAGTTTGACTCAATGACAGACCGTATGATACAGAGCGCGTGCTAACCATTCGCCCCCCCCCCCCCGAGCTGTCATTAAACCCCAAATTTCAATCCCGTGGGCAGACCTAGTATAACCGCCAAACCCCAGCAGACAGACCGGTAGGTTATTCAGGCAGGTATATAAACATACAATATAACATCTGACGACGCTTATTCATGTAGAATCAGTGTGAGACAGTAAAAGTGGTTGAAATTTTTTTCAACTGGACGTATTTCTATTTCTATTTATGCATATGAATATATTAACACAAGTCATCAAAGAAAGGTAATATTTCAATTTATTTCCTTTTTTAATTTTTAGTAAAATCAATGAAAGTGAAAGGAATGGTACTATCACAAGGGAATTCCTCAACTTGTCCAATGACGACCTTTTCACCAGTTACTGCTTCACATATAATAGGAGATCCTCCATCACCCTGAAATAAAAAATTATCTTGTTATGATCTTCATTAACCACAATCTGATGAAAATTATATAGACTATCGCGTTCAAAAGTAAGGGCACAATAAAGAAAACATCTATTTATTTTGGTGTGATCAGACTATTATCACTAGGTCGTGGACATACGGAAATTTAAACGCATAGTAGTAGTTGTGTTTCCTTCTTTATTAAAGATTAGATTAGAAATTTGAAAATCTATAATCAATTCGTCATTGTGATTTTGCCACCGATTTGTGACGTGTTTCTGTCGTAATAATACTTCAAATCAATGCACTTTCCGTCTTGTTGGTTACTTTATGATCTATTTCTTAAGGTCAACTCAAGATTTCGTCAAGGTCGCTGAGATGTAAATAAGGTCAGGGCACGTGCTTGTTGGCGAGATTGCAGGTTAAGGTTAGGGTAAGCGTTACGCCTAGGTCCAGGGTTAGGTTTGTGATTACTATCCCTGTTTACATCTCGTGACCTTTGACCAAACTTGGAGATAGCCTTATGAAATGGATCTAACCGTCACTAACCATTTAAATATACTACTTGAGAAAGCTGAATGTGACCGCTGAACAATTTTGACACGTTTGTTGGTTTTATATCAAAAGAATTGTCCTGTACGATGCTTAGACACTGTTTAAGTTACAAAGCAAAATTATAGCAAACCTTTAAAAGGTTGGTTGCAAGGCAACGAAACATACCCCCCCCCCCAAAAAAAAAAAAGGTTTGTCGTTCATACATGAAGGATGTCCACAGTTTAATGTTTTGAAAATACAGAATTCGAGCAAATTCTAAAAGTTTTTCTCTGTATTTCAATATATTTGATCCTTATATCACCATAAAAATTTCAAAATTTTTAACTAACAGGATATCTGTGACAAATCCAGGAATTGTCCCCAATTTTTATATCAAGTTTGAAACAAAAATCTTATAAACTCTTATACGTAGAGCGATTAACAAGTTAAGTTCATTAAAATACTTACAGCACAAGGTGAACCAGCAGCGGAAGTAGCACAACTTGTAGCAACGTCAGCAGCTACATCATCCGGTTTGGTACATGAACTGTCATCAATTGAATCAATAGAGAAACCTTGTAAACCATCATATTTAGGAGTTTCATCAGGCAAAGCTGTTCAAACGCAAAAATATAATATGTAAAGCCATTATAAGTATCGTGTCTTTTAAACGTCTCTGAGCTGACGTGTACAATAAAATTTTATGTCATAACAAAGAAAGACCTATGATACTGGAGTTCGCGAAATATTTTGTGTCATCGAATAACAAGGTGTGTGTTGCTTGTGTTAATTATCACTGCAAAGTTTTGAATTATAGACTATTTCCTTTATTTTCGAAAATACAGACTAAATAGAATAATAGTGCGTGAAAATCACCAGGGAACATGCCTAAGTAAATGGCAAAATCATATCAGGTCTTTCGAAAAGAGTAAAGATATACTAATTACCTTTTTCAGAGTCTCGTAGACACGCGAGATTCATATAGCTACGTAACTACGTCCGTAACACATGTTGGTGATTATATATGTGGTTAGAACAAATGAATGATATAGACAGTGGATAGATTAAATTTAAGTATCTGTGACATAAATATCGTCCCACAAACTCTTCGTAGATAACTACCCCAGAACGTCAACCAAGGTCCTGCCCCGCACCAGCTGCCCATTTCGCGTTCCACGATTGCCACTAACCGTGCAATTTCGTATTCTGAAATATGTGCCTTCCCCCTCCCAATTGGGTAATTCTTTGAAATAAGATACCCGATTAAAGTTTCCCAGTGAAATATTCCACTGCTTTATTTTAAACTCACATCTACTGGTACCTTACTATCATCTTGTGTATTATAGTTACATACCTGGCTCCAGAAGACCATAACCAGAAGTGGTACATGTTGTGAAATCAATGTAACCTTCCATTGTAGCAGCATCATACATACAAGGTAATCCAGGACATTTTGTAACATCTAATGGGGTTGTCAGAGTTATATCTGTAGTACCAGCGATAGCTCCTATAAAAATATAAGTTAGAATAATGAACTGTACGACAGTTTTTGTTCTTCGTCTTTTTGTCCTTGGTTTTGGGGCGACGCTCTCCGAAAATAGCCCAAGTGTTAGCTAATTCAATTACTGTCGACATGAAACTTGGCATGTTAATTTGACACTCTCGCAACGATTGTCGGACTTCGATATTTGATTTGACGTCACAATTCGAGGATGGTTGCGATGAAGTTATTCTCAGTTTCCGGTCCATAGTACGCCCATCCCTATTCTTTGATGATAATTGCTTGCATCATGATTCAGGAGCGTGTAAAAATGTGTGCACTGTACCCCCGTTTTCGCATTCTATAAATATCTGGACGTTGGAATCAGATTTTGAATCACTAACCATCTGCTGTGCTATCTGCTGTACTCTTCTGTTCGTCGGCTCCTTCTCCAATCGTAAGTTCTAAACCACTTAAAACATTGCTGAAAAAGATTGGAAAGTGCTAAAGCGGGCTCGTTTGTACATACGATATGAATTGATATTTGAGATAATCCTTAATTATCGACATTAAAAGCATAGTTATATAACGATAACAAACCCCCATTCTTTGAATAAAGTAAATGTATATGAAACGTACGGTAGTGCGGCTATTTCTCCGCAAGATGTGGGAACTTGAACAGTTGTTTCGTCAATAAGAACACCAGTACATAAAACTACTTTGTATCCCGGATGATATACGTTTACAACTCCTGGTACATCACATGCTGGTGTGGCTGCTCCACCTGTCATTCTCCTTCTTCTGGCTGTTACTGATGGATCTGGACATACTAAAATAGCAACAGTAATACTTAATATTAAGTTTTTAATTTATTCCTAACGTTTATAACTTGTTTTTAGGGTATACAAATTATCAAATTCAAGTTTCCAAATGCGTTAGTCTTTAAACATGAATAAATTGTATGCATGCAAAAGGAATCTGTTATAAAAGAAAGACAAGGATAATTGTATTACGTTGAGCAGGAATGGTTGTTGTAGTTGGAGCCTCTGTTGTTGTTAGTTCTTCAGTTGTCGTCGGTTCTACAGTTGTTGTAGGTTCTTCAGTTGTTGTTGGTTCTTCAGTTGTCGGTTCTACAGTTGTTGTAGGTTCTTCAGTAGTTGTAGGTTCTTCAGTAGTTGTTGGCTCGGCAGTGGTTGTGATAGCTTCAGTGGTAGTTGCTGGTTCAGTTGTAGTGGCGGTTTCTTCCGTAGTAGTGGTTGGTTCTTCAGTAGTTGTTGGAGCGTCCGTTGCTTCTTCCGTTGTTGTCGGTGCCATGGTTGTGGTAGGTTCGTCTTCTTCACATGTGTCACACAGCACACAAAAATCTGAAATAAAATAAATCTTCATAATTGGTTACACTGTCACAGTAAAGAATTCTGCACAAACTGTCGGTTTTCCTTAATGATGTCTCGAAGAAATCTTATCCTTATAGAAACTGCAGACATGCCGGAAGCTTATCTATTTCTTTGGTTGTAATTAGTTCTCAACCAAGTGATTTTTCTGTAGGTCTGTCTACTAGTCTACGGCTTCTTGACCAATGCGAGGGGACAATTTTACCGAGGCAGTGGCGTTTCACCTACTCGTCTTTGAATATTATCTAATATTTTAATTGTTCTACCAATTTATAGATATGGTCACCCTTTTATTGTTACCCTTAACACGCGAAGCCTAACCCTGGACCTAGCCCTAACGCTTGCCCTAACCTTAACCTAAAGTCCCGCCTACAATCACGTACCCTAACCTAATTTTCACCTCAGCGACCTTGACAAAATCTTGAGTTGGCCTTAAGAAATAGATCTAGCCGGACAATTGGTGTTGTTATATACTATGATCGGGACAATGAAGTGGTAATATACTGGGGTCGAAGCAATTGGGTGGTTATATACAAATTAGAATAATTTTGTACCAGGATCTGAGGTATTGTTTATATATATTATACTGAAATCTAAACAATTGGGTGGTTATATACTAATTAGAATAATTTTGTACCAGGATCTGAGGTATAGTTTATATATATTATACTGAAATCTAAACAATTGGGTGGTTATTAACCGGAATCTGAAACACAAAGTTGTGTGTACTGGGACCTAAACAATTTGATTGTTATATACGAGAATCTAAATCATTATGTAGGTTTGGTTATATACGGCGGTTCTGTGTGTGAAATAGCTTTAACCTCCGCTTCCACCGACATGATATCCAGACAAGCGAGGGTTCTCAAATATAAGGGGTTATATGCTAGGATATTTATACTTATTCAATTTACTTCACACGAGTAAGAGTGATCCTCAAAACACAAGATTATTATACAGGATAGGAACTCTAGGATGTAAGTAGAGCTTGATTACCTCCCTTATCGGGAGTTTCGCACATTACTGTGGTTATATTACAAAATCTGACACTGAAGTGGTTATATACTAGGATGTGGTTATATACTGGGATCTAAATATTAGAGTGGTTATACACTGGGATCTAAACATTAGAGTGGTTATATTCCAGAATCTATATCTAAGAATGGGTATACTGAAATCAGAAAATTAGTATGGTTGTATAGATGTTAGTATAAGTAGATTTGAACATTAAAGTTGCTATAAACGGGTATCTGAAGAGTAGGATAGTTAACCAGGATCTGGGATATTATATCGCTGCAATTTAAACAATTAATTAAACAATGGAATGATTACTTACGGGGCGTGTAACAATATTCTGGTAATTCTGCTGGTGGTGGTGGTGGATCTGTTGCTGGTGGTGGCGGTGGTGGACAGAATAAAGATAATACTGCGAACAAAATGTTCATGAATTAATTAGAATACGGAAAGGCGTTATGCCGCTTTGATTTATGTTAGAATAAATTATTGAATTGGGCTGATGGTGTTTAATTTAATTACTGATGGAGGCAAGATCTGTTCGATTAAATTTAAGTTTATAAAGATTAATCGGCTGATTTACTAATTTTACTTTCAATTTTGGCTTACTGTGTCGACAGCGGGATATCACATTGGTGACATCTTAACACTAACAACATTTATAACGAGCAGGTTGTCATCCAAATTAAAATACAGATGTGACGTCATCCCTTTTGATGTTGGCGTACCATTGCTTCAAATATTGGTTTGGATAATGTGCCAAGCGTACATTATTTATAATAGTTGAAATACTGGTCCCGCGTGACGCATTTCATTGAAATGCACGTGCTGGATAGTATCTGTATTTTAAGTTGTTTAATGGTATCGCCCTTGGCCATTAAACTACACATAACAAATCAACACATAAAATACAATGAATTCCACGAATTCCTTTCCAACCCAAGGTACTAACACTTTAACAGTAGTAAATTAGAAGTTTTTGACGATTTTGATAATCATATACAGCAAGTTGTCATATGGATACCTATTTATCAAACACACAAGCATAGTTCTAGTGTTCCATTTTGTCTGAAAGTTATATTTTGGAAAACCAAGAGTGTTATAAAATTGGATAAATAATAATAAATTAAAATTTGCAATTGTTTCGACTTTAGATGAAAGCAAGCCTAAGGGAGAACTCTGAGTTTGGATTTCTCACAAACTCTTGATATAGCTGGTGATACTAAATTGTAACAAGCCATTGTAACAAAAATCCCTTTTCTGTGCAAAACGGGTCAATGAAGTAATTTTATAATGGTCTACCATATGGATGTAGCAAAACATACATTGTACTCACTCGAATCGGTATCGCAGTAAGCTGATGATTCTCCTGCTGCAGGTTTCGTTTCTGCTGGTGGTGGTGGTGGTGGTGGTGGTGGAGTCGTTGGGGGTGGCGCACAGAATGCAGATAAAACTGAAAACATAAACATGTCACTTGATTGTTAATAAATGTAAGCAATTTTTATTGTTGCGCGGATGAATAAAATTAATGCATTTGTGAATATGAAAAAGGGAGTATTTTTTGCCTTAATCAAATTAAATTTCGCCTGGAGTATGGGGAGACTTTGGTGAACTATTAAAAAATTTTTGGTTTTCTTTCGCGATTCTAACGCTGAAATGGACAGATAAAAGTATTTTTGTGTATAGTATCTTGATTAATATTGATAATTATTGAACTTTTGTCAAAGGTATGAATCATTGGTACAAAACGTACAAATTGACCGGCAATTCAGTATTACAAATTTCGTTCAAATTAATAGAGCTAATACTGACCGACCATTCAGTATTACTTATCAGTCAAATTTCAACGTTAATACTGACCGCCTATTACATACTTTGGTCAAATTTATAGAGTTAATACCGGTTTCTTATTCAGGGGTGGGATGTGGTGGGGGAATAATATTCATGATCGAATGAATAAACATTAATATTATATTTACAACATAGATAATAACAATTCAATTCAATATTAACACTTACTGTTTCGTTTGCAGTACGTGGACCTCTTCAGTATGTTGCCTGTTTAAAATGTGATATAAAAAAATATTTTACATGTTTGATGCTTAAAAATACAGTAACTTTTTATAAGATTGACCTGTAAATATAATACATGTAAATAGTATTTTACCATTTTAAAGGCGCAGCGGACCAGATTTCTGGCATATATTTTAAAAATATTTATTAATTTGATACGATGATTGGCTAACAAGTTATAAGCCTATCTGTGCAAGACCTTCCCTGGATCCCGGCCAGGAGGAAATTTTCTTCAGTTACCCTAAAAAAGTCGTTCACAACTGACATGAGGTCATCATTACTAAGAACATGACGACCAGCTAGTTCGTTTTTTTTTAATTTTTGGAAACATGTCTCATCCATGGTTACTAATCTGGTCTAAACATTATCAAGATCAGCTTCTAAACGGCGCAGATGGTCACAGGGCGTCAAGAATCTAATACGTTTCTGGTCCGTACTCAAAAGCTTTGGCACTCATCTTGCTTCGTCAGCGATAATGTGCTGATTCCCACAACACTGACAATATGTCGAGTGGTCAATTGTCGATCAGCCATTACCATGTCATGTATCCGGGTAATGTTTTCTTGAATGGTTGCTGCTGATGGCCTTCCAGGACGCGGGTCATCGTCAAGGATATCTTTCTCTCTGCCACGTTTAAATTCCCTAGCCACCTTCTTTACTGTTTAAAAGGGAGGGGCATCATTCCCTAAAGTGGAGACAATGGCTGCATGTTTAACATTCAAACATGTTATTTTCATATTGGAATTTAGCATACTATATTCATATTGTAACGCATCGTGGATTTCAAATCGGGTTAGAAAGAAAATCAAATAAGGCTGGGTTAGGAATGATCCGCGGCTAGGATTTGCTTCCATAAAACCATTTGAGATCAGTCATTTTGGATCTACTTTGATTATTTATTGGCTAATAATATTTCTAATATAGTTTTGTTAATGTTCCAGTTTCATTTCTAGCACGCAACATCAACATTTTATTTATAGTTAAATCTAATTTCAAATCTTATGCTTAATTGTTATTTGATCGATGACTAAAATTGATTTTATACTTTATATCAGTGTCTAATCCGTCGAAAAACATCAAATGGCTGTTTTCGACAAATAAGGCTTCAGTGGAACTGAATATTAAACAGAGCTCGTGGTTTCCTACTCTCACAATAATTGTCCCGTTATCACTAGCGCTTCGTGATATGAGCCTCGGTATATTCCGTGAAGAAGCGAAAGTTTTTATGGATGATGACAAAGGAGAGAGAGAGAGAGAGAGAGAGAGAGAGAGAGGATGGGGTTTAACGTCCACTCGACACAAACTGTCATTTCGGGACTAACATATGGTTCAATTTTATTACAATAATTCACTTGCGCGTACGAGTCTTTAGCAGTGGGAGGAAACCGGAGGACACGGAAAAACCCACGAGGTTGGACAGGCGACCCTGCTCCTTGTTACGTACGGGGAATCGAAACCACGTCAGTTGAGTCAATGACAGATCGTATTATACAACGCGCACGCGCTAACCATTGGACCATCCAACTTTCCGAGGACAAAAAGACACAATCTAGATTATTTTATTGGCAGCGAAACTGTCGATCAAATGTTTAAACATATAGCCGATTCTCACTTAAAGTTTCTGGGTGTCATTGGGTGTATTGATGAATCCGCTTCAAACTACAAGCAATACCAGTCCTAAAGTGGTTCGATTCCGCGATGATGAATAGAAAATGTGTCATCCTAGGCCAACGATATGGCCATAAGAAACCAGTGCCACATGTAATCTGAGCCTCTTTTTAATTCGATTAATCCATGCCGGGAGATTATTAAGTGTTTATTTTATAAACCCGTACCCCACCATTTGAAAGATGGCAGACTACAACATTGTGAAAGTCGAATCTCTAAGAAAGAATATCAATCTTACAATGGAACGATTCCATTATGATGAATTGAAAATTTGTCAACATTCGGATTCGCGGAAGATGCTCTTGCCACATATAATCAGAGTCTCCTTTTATCCGATTAATTCATGCCGCGAGGATATATCTGTCATTCATATCATATTTTTATTTTCTTAAATAAATGTTGAATAATCATTTTGAGTTCATTTTGGAGTGAATATTATTATTATGCCGCAAAAAAAAAAAAAAAAAAAAAAAAATAGATATGGTCCGAAAAATAAAATGAAATGACAATCAGTGACTTTAAAATGTTCCTGGAATTTATAAATTGGCATAAGGCTTTCCTGAGGAATTATTGTGGCTATATCTCAAACAAATTATTTGTAGACAACTTACTAATATGTCCCGATTCTACCAAGGGACAAACGGCCAAAAGGGCACAGATGAAAAAAGATGACGTTGACCTCATCGTGTAATGATATCCGTGGTACGTTTTGTCATTTTTTAAATTTTACATTTCATTTTATATCAACATATATACAAACAAACATAATATTTCTGTAATTAACGACTTTGTATGAACAGATGGCTATTTTGCAACCATCCTTATAGCTATATGTATTACGTGATAAAAACAATAGGAATACGGCAAACAAACAATTATTTAAACATCATTAGCATCTTAATTTCAACCCTGAAAATAACCATTAAAAAGTAAGTGAAGAAACATATATCTCAGACTGGGTATTAGAGATTACAATATAGGAATTATCGTCCAGGACATGATATTATGATTTGTGTGTAGAATTAAACGTATAGAAAAACAACAGAGGTCATTTTCACTCCACTTTTGTTTAAAAGAACGAGTGCTTGCGACCTTAGGCCTGCAGCCAAAACTTTTAGCGTGAAATTCCGCTACATGGCCCGCCCTACAAAACAAACTATACATTTTTGGAAAGCTTATAACTCCAGGAACACAAATCCAGAGAGTTCCAAGCAAAGTGTTTGCAATAACTCGATTAAGGGCCAGATGAAAATTGTGATAATTGTCAAATAAATGCTATATTTATACATGTACTAACAATTGTGAAGTTGGTATAAAATTTAATATTGGCGAAAACACCCGATACTCTCATCCTATGCAAAGAATATGCTATTGGTTAAATTTTGATTTAAACCAAAATGCATTAAACGTAAATATGGCGTGGATTAGTCAATGGCAGATAATGGAAATTTCAAGTGGCTATAGTCTCGATTATCCATTTTAATGTTAATTTATTAAGTGGAGAGAAATGAAATGAAATGAAATGGGGTTTAACGTCCTACTGTTCTGCCCCCACTAGGCTAATGAAGACGGGCATACATCATATCGTGTGCTATGAGGCGCTACGAACTACTCTTATATCGAATTCCAACTGCCAAGGGATCTTTTACGTGCACGCCAATGTGTACACGGAACCTCGGTTTTTATCGTCCCATCCGAACGACTAGACAGCTGATAAATGGAGAGACGGTTTTGATCGATTCAATATCAACGATGGTCTAAAGGGTTGGTTATGGGATTGTCATGTGAATAAATGCGTAATTACTAAATCTGTAATAGGCATTTTTAGCTCTTTCATAATGCATGTTCATATTGGAATTTGGCATACCATATGCATATTGTACAGCATCGTGGTTAGAAAGAAGATCAAATGAGGCTGGATTGGGAATCAATCATTTTGGATCTACTTTAATTATTTATCGCTGTGATGGGTAAAGTCTAATTCAGTGGTTCTCACCTTTTTTGTCAACGGCACACCTTGGAACACATGAAAACAATAGCGGCATAACTGGCTAAATATATATGAAAAATATTTGAATTTTGCAAAATAGAAACATTGTAAGTCACACGGCATACAACCGTAGACAGAGACTAGTGGACACATAGAATGACTCAAACTAAATAAAGAGAAACACAGCTATCAATTTATCAGTAGACACCAGTGAATAAATACTCAATTGGAATCATGTGATTTTTCGCATTTTCTTACTGTGCAGTTCAAAATTTAGCGACACAGTTAAGATCTGGTTGAGAATCACTGGTCAAATCACCGGATAAAACGGAGGCCCCGTGCACACGTTGGCGTGGACGTAAAAGAACTCTTGACGGTATCATACGCCATACATTTAATTTGTATGTACATCTTCATTATCCCGGTTGATACCGAACAGTTAGGCATTACACTCCATTTGATTTTTTTCTCATCATTACAATTGCCACTCCCTTACAGCGTTCTTTAAAGGAACTATCCCGATTTGGACAGAGTCTCAAAAATAAAAGTCCGGGTAAGTATGAAAGTTAAGCGCCAAAATATAGAGCAATGGCGTATTTACCTTGTCTCAAAATTTCAGCTCAAAATATTGAGTCGTTTGGATGTGACCATCAAAACTGCTTATCCGGACGGCGGTCATGTAACCCTTTTAGGATTTCGGGCCATTTATTTCGCTGGGTGAGCTGATAATCGATTCCCGTTCGTTGAGAGGTCTATACAGTAAATGACCCGTGTGCCGTACTTGATAACGAAAGGTACATTTCACCTACACATTATTTTTTATTAAAAAAGAGTTTGGTCTTATCCAGACACCGCATAATACAGCTTGGGACACCGGTCTCCATTTCCTGATGAAGACTGGCGGGTTTAAGTTGTTTGTAAATGTATCACAAATATGAAGTTAGTTGCTCGGCCCTTTGGTAGAGGATTTTAAGGGATTTTAACACAAAATTAAGCAGTTTTATTCTCCCAAAAAATATCGGGATTGGCCCTTTAAGTTTTGCCATATAGCTATTTTAATGAGAAAATTACATATTTATAGATGCTTTGTTTTAATTCAAATATTTGTTAGAAATTTAGCCTCAAATCTAAAATGAACTAAAGGTTTAGAGATATATTAGTAGAAATACGGTTTTGGGAGAATTATGCCCCTCAAACCCCCAGATTCGGTGAACTGTACATTTTTGGGGCAATTTATTTCAGTTTTTCGGGCACAAACATCAGAGAATGGAGAATGAGACCATATATCACAGAAATATAATTATATTTATAACCCCGTAATACTGACAGGGGAAAACCACACCGGGGTTGTCCTGTATATATACATATCTAATCTGTGTAAGTGTAGTAAATGTTAAAGCGAGAATTTCAAATTTTCTAAGAAAGTCAAAACATAATTATTTCTATGTCTTTTGCTCAATAGGTTATCAAATCACTATTATACGATCATGGGCATTATTTCCCACCCTTAAAAATCTATGACACAGGAAATAACAACACAATTAGCTCCCCTGTTTTGCTATTGACAACATGGGGCAGCCATTTTCCAACGTTGGAATTTGAAGTTAAAAATGATATTTTTGCCAATTTCTCAGCTGGCAATAGCGAATTATAGGATTAATAGGATTATTCTTTAACAAGGTGGGACTGTTTATGGATACCATCTATTTTAAGGCTTTATTTTAATACATTTTAAAAATATAACTTGAAAATTTGCAATTGCAACTTTAAAATGAAACAAAGAGACTGTTAAAGAGACCGAATTTGATGTTTGTACGTGTAATGACAACGATGATGATGATGATGTTGACTAACTTTGATGATATTTAAAGCGAAGAAACTCCCTAATTTGGATTTTCAATGATTGTTTTGCTTCAATAAATAATTAGTTTTTGTCTTATATCTATATTTGTTAACAAATTACACAATTATAGATACGGTTTCAGTTTAAATGTTTGTAATTTGGCTTTAAAACAAATCTGAACTAGATGTTTACAGCTACCTGTCGTAAATACTGCATAAAACTCTCTGGACAGTGGCGGCGCCAAGGGGGGGGGGCGGGGGGGTGCAAGAGGGTTTTGCAAAGGGGGGGGGGGGGGCGACGGACAGTATCTGGTCAGATCTATTTATCTCGACGATCGGTGCTTGACTGAATACACAGACAGCATGTCCGGCACTCTATTTTTCAAAATTTTCTTGGGGTGGTCACCCATACCCTCCGTAAGCACTCCCTACTTTGGAGCTCGTGAGTGGGATTCGTGGATGTTCGCAAGTCCGTTCGTTTGACACTTTATCTCAACGATCAGTACCTGAAATACTGCCAGGCGGCATTTCCGGCAGTTTTTTAAAGATTTCTGGGGGAGGCCCACCTACCACTAGTCGAAGCTCATGCCTTTGCCCCCTTAACCTTGGACTTTGCCCCAGCTTTGCCCCTCCAACCACCGGCGGCTGGCGCCGCCACTGTCTCTGTATTTGTGTTCCTGGAGTTCTAAGCTTTCCAAAAATGTATAGTTTGTTTTGTAGGGAGGACCTTGTAGCGGAATTGTGTTTCTAAGCAAACTCGAAATTTTGGCGGTAGGCCTACCTAGTGTATATCCAAAATATCGATTTATTTGACCCGAATAAGATCCTAGAAAAGTAAGACTTATTATGTACATGTGAATTGTGTGATTTAGATGTCTGGAGGCTGAAATATTGATAGGGGCGGCACTAATCAAACAAACGTTCGCCAAATTAACAATAAAGGTAGATTGAACAAATCTCTTATACCATTACAAAATGATGTATTGAAATGATCTATTTTAAGAACATCTCCTATAGATTGATTATTTAAGAATGTTGACTAGACGTTTGTTGGGAAATATTTGGCGTAAGAGAGAACCATATGTTTTCCCAAAACATAATAATATGGTTACACAGTTGTCAATTGCGAGAAAGCCAATGATGAATAACAGGTCTAGATCATACCCCGCCCCTATCAGACTCCCCACAACAAATGTCAGTCGCGTATAATATATGCAGTCCGAGTGAAGCCGAAGAACTTACATCCAGTGGACGTCAGGGCCGTAAATAGCTCAGAGCAACGAGTGGGGCGGGAAGTGATCTCAGGGGTGCTGTAAAATTGACGGACAATGTATATCTATCGACATTTTTTTTCACGGGGTGGGGGGCGGAACTTTTTACGGGCGGTGCCCCCCCCCCGCCCCTTAGTTACGGGCCTGGTGGACGTTAAACCGCACCCCTCTCTGCTCACAAAGAAGTATTAAAAATATAGACTATGGGTATCAGGAAACAAATTAACTCAGTAAAGAAAGAGAATAATTATTTATTTCCTTTTACATTTTAGTAAAATCAATGAAAGTTAAAGGAAGTGAAGAATCACAAGGGAACTCTTCAATTTGTCCAACGACGACCTTTTCGCCAGTTATAGCTTCACATATAATAGGAGATCCTCCATCACCCTGAAATAAATATTATCTTCGTCTTTACTTGCCGTAAAGGGGAATGAGTAATAGCACAATAAGCATGTCACTCAGTTGCATGCGCCACCATAGTAACAATATCTGTGGGAAATGAAATGGGGTTTAACGTTCTAAGTTTCAGTACCGACAGGGCTAATGAAGACGGGAATTAGCCACGCAGTATGCCGTGAAGGACAATACCCTACGATCTTATCTTATTTCGAATTTCAACTGTCAGGGCTTTTTTTACGTACACGCCACCGTGTACACGGGACCGCGATTTTTGGTCCCATCCGAACGACAAGACACTGTTCATTGCAAGGCTCTCCATCACCACTGACAAGGGGGGAAACACGCTGGAATATCCAGGGGGGAATTTTTCGGCCAACACTGGAATCGAATCGAGGAACTACTGGTTAGTGAGCTAGCGTCCTACTCACTGAGCCAACACTGTTCCATTGTGGGAATTTAGCTTTTTAGTCGGTAAACCATACAGAAGTTCTCCAAATCATGATACAAAACTTGGTTTAAATCAGTGTTCTGTATCGAAAAACATCGCCCGTTTTAAGGAATACATCAGTAAGTATGGGATTTTTGTTGATATGAGTAATCGGTAGATTTTCGTTATTGTGGAACCTACTGCAAGTCAAAATACTCACAGCACACGGTGAACCAGGAGATGATGAAGCGCAACTTATAGCAACATCATCAGCTAATGCATCAGGTTTTTTACATGAACTGGCATCAGCAGAATTAAAATCGAAGATAGAATCAATAGAGAAGCCATTTAAACCATCATATGTATAAGTTATACCTGTAAAAAAAAAAGTAAAAAATTCTGTTAATACAAGAATGATTTCAACATGACGTAGTCAGACAACGAATCTACGTCTACCAGCAGCTTTGTGAGGAGAGGCAAGAAAGTCAAGGAATACGGATTCTAGCCAGCATTCAATTCTGCAATATTTTCAATGTATCCAAAGTCATACAGGTCATGTTTCGGTAAAAGTGGCAACCGTTTTTTTCTCTTTTTGACTGGCTGAATAGCCCAAAGAAATTAAAAAAACCAAAAAAAAAACCAAATGAAAAAAAAACGAAATCCCCAAGACACCGTTTTATTACAGCCATTTTTATACGCCCATATTTCCATGTGAATGTATATTGTCGTTGCCCCTGCCCGTGTGTCCGTTCACATTTTGTTTGTGGACACCCTACAGATCACAAATTGTGTCCGATTTTGACGAAACTTGATATACAAGTTTATCTCCCACAGATCTCGGTTCCTGTCGATCTTTGCAATCATCGGACCATAACCCCCTGGATTATGGTCCCTAAAAATACGAAAAATCTTGTAATTTTTTTTAGCATGTTTTCTACCCAACTCTTGCAAAACATGGTTGGTTGGTTGTTTACGCTTAGGAGCCTTATCCATTTTTACGTTAAATTATCCATCACTAAACGTATTCAAATACACTAAATATCGCAGGCTAACGATGGCATCGAGTGCTGATTATGGTCTGGATATGTTAATTCATGTCTGATTAATAATTCAGATAACATTTCAGGTCTAAAAGCCCTGCAATCGGCAGATTAATCTTTTGCATAATGCATGTTTAAAGAATCAATATTATTATTAATTTATTTTTAAAAACAAATGTAACCATATTCAGCCTTCGTGTGCTATATTATGGTCATCTGATCATTACAAACCTCCATGGCAAACCGTTCTAAAGGTAGGCCAGTGTACTGTTCGGGTAGGATGGGGTATGGCTTTGTCGTCCATGTAAAATAGGCCTTGTGGTGAGTATATGGTTTTCAAAATGTGGGATAACAACCGATTCTATGACAATGCGAATGCACTAGTCGAGTCCAAGATTACCTGGTATGGTAAATATGTCCAGTATGCAATCGTGTGAGACACTTCCCACAAGCTTCCGCCGTACGTGAATTCGAGCAGAAACCTGTTATTATGCGATTAACGGATGTTTAGCCAGAGACTCCAGTCCCGTCTCCGATCTGTATATTTCAGTAAGGGACCTTTAGAGACAAGCCCAGCCGCTTTCCGGTGGTTCCTCAATATTCTGGAGGACATAGGACGGAAACTCGTTGTAACTGAATCATCCCCTATATTCAAGCTGTGACTTCACTTTAGGTTGTCCCGAACGTGATAGGTACTTTACGACATTAGTTTTCCAACTGTGCGATGGAAGCCCTGTAGACAGCTAATAGATTTGGCCGACATGGAGATTTTCTGACACTCTCTTTCGCACCATCTTCATAGATCACGAGCCACTATGGCAAGAAACCGATTTTAAAGACCCTGTATATACCTATCTAGGTTAGTATACATACTTAATTTTGAAAAAAGCGAGGAGGCATACTACATGTGCCAGATGCTTTGTATCGAAGATCATTATTACTAAAGTCAGAATTAATATGAAACTCGAAAGTAATTAAGATATTATGTGGCTGATTTTGTCAGGGGGTGCCTCACATCTTTCCATGTGTATATTATCTTGTATAACATTAATACCTACCGTCGGAAGGTTCAACTATACCATAACCAGAAGTGGTACATGTTGTGAAATCAATGAAACCTTCCATTGTAGCAGCATCATATATACAAGGTAAACCAGGACATTTTGTAACATCTATTGGGGTTGTCAGAGTTATATCTGTAGTACCAGAGATAGCTCCTATTAACAAAAAAACATAATCATATAATCGTTCATAGTACAAATGTATGCTTGTATGGAAATAATTGCATATTTTCACAATAATGGTCTCTTCTACACTAACAGAAGTCTCACTTACCGGAATAATTTAATTGACAACATAACAAAACCATTTCATATAATGTTAAGTATTGAAGTAAATAGGGTGTGAGCCTAACATTTTGTCTCGAATACGATAAATCTCCAAAAGTTCATGCATTGCTTTGCTCAGCCCTATCACGCCATTCCCGGTAATGTGTTACCGGCTCTTCGCATGTGATTGTTAGGATTTCAAGTAAAATCGTCCAGTAAGTTTTCAAATTGTCAATTGTCAAGAAATTTTTACAACTTTCAAATATCTTTTCCCAATAAATTGTTCTCTTATATTTATTTAATATTTATCTACCTGTTGACGCTATTAGACGACTGTCGAGGAAGGTATACCCTTTTCAAACTAGCGAAGGCAATAATCACCCCACCCCACCCCACCATCATGCACCTGGTTCCGATGGCCCGTCAACCAAAATTCAGAATTTTCGGTTACTGGAAGTGGAAACACCACAATAAAGCGTTATTCAAATCGAAATGTTCACTAACCGTCAGCAGAACTTGCAGCTCCACTAGTCTGTTCATCCGCACCTTCACCAACTGTAAGCTGCAAACCTTCCATGACCGTTCTGAAAGGAGCATGTTTGTGGTTATGAAAAGCGAATAAGCAAAATAATTGTATCCAGCCTTCTCAGAAAGCACATGAACGTACATCCGATCAGATTGAAGTAGAAAGTGTAAATATTTTCGAATTGGTATGGGGGCACTGGTATGATTATCGTTAATTTCAGGTACAAAATTTCCATTTCAAATTGGCAGATTACAGTATGTTACAGTGACATTACTGTTAGGGAAGGCAATTTTGTTTTAAAAGAGTAGTGGTTTCTATCTGTATATTTGAAGTAAAATTATTTCATCTTCAAACTTGAAGGTGTATTACAAATTTATCTAAATCCAACTACCCGAGAGAGTTTGATTGAGGATGACAGGCGGTCGGTCCAGTGCGGTCCTCCTGCACTTACTAATAGACCATACTGGTACTGGACCATAAAACTACATTAATCGGATTAATTATATTAATCCCCATTCTTTCAACACAAATAAATAAAGGTATTTATATATAACATACGGCATAGTGGCCAGTTCTGCACATGATGATGGGATTTGGACAGTTGTTTCATCAATAAGAATTCCAGTGCATAAAACTATATTGAAATCCGGATGATATACTTTTACAACTCCTGGTGCATCACATGCTGGTGTGGCTGCTCCACCTATCATTCTCCTTCTTCTGGTTGTTACTGAAGGATCTGGACATACTAAAATAACAACAAAAATAGTTCAGTTAATTAAGCTGGAAGGTTCATTGGCCACTTTATTCTAGTTTCAGGCATCTGTCCGAAGCTGTGTGTGATACTTCTTCGACGAAATACCAATTCCGTTGAAGTTGGGGGAGGGCTTCTTGACTACTCGTGAGTTTGAATAAACTGTCTGTAACTGAGAAATTGGGGGCGAGCTCTCTAGATGAATTACATAGGATCTGTTTTACGATCACTTCTACGATCATTTTTGGCAATGTGATTTCGGTTTTCTGAGATCCAGTACCCCTCATCTTTAATACTCATCGATGCATTACTACTTTTTATCAAAATAAATAATTTTGAAACGTAACATTCTCAAACTAGACTTAACTATCGTGAATATATTACCGACCTATTTCGGATAAGCTGGTGTGTTGTTAGAGCAATTGTTAAATTCATTACAACACCCCCCACCCACCCACGGCGCAACCTTTTCCTGAAGATACTACAGATTTTAACGGAATTATAACAAATTTGATATGAAAAATTGGGATCATGATGACGTCGATATTCAGAATTCCGCAATCTGCCGTTGCGCCCCCCCACCCACTCCCCGTCTAGAATAAAGCTAGGGGACACGATTTTGTCAACATTGGTGAGGTGCGTTAGGATCATGGTGAACAGTGATCAACTATTACTACAGGATGAGCTGTTGTTTATGGCTATCTCTTTTGGCGTTGATATTTTTATTGAATGCCTCAAATGTAATATCAAAACTTATCTGCCACAAAATCAATATTAAGCCCGGACATTAATGTGCATGCTATTAGTACATCCAATTGTTTAAAAATAAAATGAAAACGGAAGTTATATTACACTGCAGTGCTTCGGTAGTTGTAGTAGGTTCCTCAGTGGTTGTAGTGGGTTCTTCGGTTGTTGTAGTGGGTTCCTCAGTGGTCGTAGTGGGTTCCTCAGTAGTTGTAGTGGGTTCTTCAGTTGTTGTAGTGGGTTCTTCAGTAGTTGTGGTAGGTTCTTCGGTAGTTGTGGTAGGTTCTTCGGTAGTTGTAGTTGGTTCTTCAGTAGTTGGTGCTTCAGTAGTTGTAGTTGTAGTTGCACAAGTGCCACAGAGGGCACAGAAATCTGAAATGGGTGTGAAAGAGCTTAAAAGTCCGAATTCAGTACCAGTTTTCGTTGTTAAGTTTAATGAAGTGTTGCTGGAATCGGAAACATTGTCCTGTGATAAATATTTTGCTCCAGGTGGTCCCATTGTGGGAATCTAATTGGGTTAATACGTTTTACTTTACTTGGTGTTTGTGTTCATAAATATTTACCTGAACTCAATAAATGCATGATCAACATTAAGTTTGTTCAGCTCTTTTTACACAATCAGATGCCAAAATAGAATATAATAGTTAATGCAAAAAACAAATACTAGAAATAGATGAAATCCAACGAATTTCAAATATACAATATATAATATTATACAGCATAATCAAGTATCATAACTAATACGGGGTTGTCTAAAAAAATTCTCAGTGGCAGCAAGTGCCCGACAGAGATCAATGGCAATATCCGACAGTATTGAAATTAAAGGCGCTTCTTCATCTATCTAATAGGTCTGATGATAAACACAACTCCGATTGTAGACGACTGTTTTAGGCGCAGTCTAGGGTCGTGTCCTTACATATGGTTATTGACAATAATATAACAATATAATGATTACTCACAGGGACTGAAACAATATGCTGGTAAAGCTGCTGGTGGTGGTGGAGGAGGGGGTGTTGTTGTTGCACACAATGAAGCAAATATTACATATACTGTATATAAAAAAAATGATATTAAAAGTGCGTTTAATAATCACTTAAAAACAACACCAAATGTAAGGTACATAAATGAATGAGAGGAGGTATCATGTGTTCTGCGAGATAATGCATACCATATCGTATATTCTTGGTTTCGATACGGGTGTTGACCGTGAAAGTTCCTCGAGGCGTGAATTTCCCATGGTAAGGCACAGCGGCTTGTCCATCGGATGGGACGCCAAAAGCGGTTCCGTGCACAAATTGGCTGTCGCGTAAAAAAAAACCTTGACAGTCCTGGCTATATGTCCTTTATAGTACACAGCATGATTTCATTATCCCGTTTGGAGCAAAAAGGCAGGACATTCATTCATCCATTTAAGATTAATTTATAAAAAAATACACAAGATTGTGAGCAATATGGCGTTGGTGATACAGTCCTTAACAAAAACAAATAATCAACTCAAATCCCGCCATACCCCTCAAATTAATACTTCTTTTGATCAAGGCTCTTTGGTTTGCATTCCGAACAGGGAGTTAGATCTATTAGAACAAGGTGTGTGATTTTGATACTATTTGGGGGGTGGGGGGATCAAGTCCTCTGTACGCATTGGCGTGCACGTAAAAGAATCCTTGGCAGTTGAAATTCGAAATAAGAGTAGACCCTTTGCCGCTGTCCGGGCAAAATTTCACTCGAAACATATGCCCATCTTCATTACACCAGTCGGTGCAGAATGGTAGGAGGTTTAAGTCCCAGCATTCATTTCATTTCGTAAATCACTTAAAGATATTTAAAGATATATCTTCGATATTTGAGATAACTGGTTCATGTAAGCAAGAGGTAGTTCTAATAGAAAACATGGATGAATTTCGACAGAGGTCTACCTCATAACCACCAAGTACACGCTCAACTGTGTCTTGGATCACGCTTACAAGTTTTAAAATATGAACACTTACGGTTCCCAGTGCAGTATGACGACCGCTTGAGTCTTCTACCTGTTTAAATGAAAAGATATGGATATAAGATTACCAAATTTTATTGAGATAGATAAATTTACTATAGTAAGATGGTAGTTCACAAACTAAGAGGACTCGGGTTCGCTCCTGGTGTTAGCCGAGAAAGTTCCTCGTGATTTTCTGGAGTGGTGTCCCCTTGTTGGTAGTGTAGGACAGAGAGTCGTTAAAAATGGGGCGAAAAAACGAGGTTCCGTGTACACTTCGGCGTGCACGTAACAAAACCCTTGACATTTGGAATTAGAAATAAGAGTAGACTGTAGAGCAGCTGTCCAGGCAATATTTCCTTCATAGCACACTGATGGCGTATTCCTGTGTCTTGACTAGCCCATTTCAATTTGTCTATTTTAGTCTCAAAAAAGTAATTCCCGTTTTGGGTTATCGAAGAGCCAAATAAATTAATTGAATACAATTCTAACTCTCTGCAACAATTCCAATATCTGGCTTTTTCTTTATTGCATGCACTATAGCTAAATCTCAATAATTAATTGTAGACAACTTACTAAGATGGCCGGATTCGGAAACGGCTACGAACGCACAAACCAAAATAGCAATTGTTAGTTTCATAGTGGAGTGATGTCCGTAAGAGAATTTTGCATATTTGAAATTCAAATTATATTATATATGAAGATCATATAAAAAACAACCAAACATTATTTTATGTAATTAGAGGTGTGTGTATCATTATCCACCAACGTTCTGTGAACAGGTGGCCATGTTGCAGCCATTCCAATTACACACTATCATATACATTTTAATGAAATGTTTTTTAAACACAAGTAAACAATTGTTTAAAAATTATTTTCTTTATTCAAGTAGTGTGATATATCGATATATAAATACTTGGCATTTTTTTCGCAGTTCTAAACAGAAGCATGATCGACACGTGATTGAATCTGATATTGGTATTAAGAGATTTCGATGCAAAAGGTACCTTGCGAGTCAAAAGTAATATTGGACAAGCTGGTAGGGAGGGTGGGGAACCTTTTCCAGAAATGACTAAGTTTCAAGGTTGCTCGCAAACTGATCAGCAGTGAAAATTGAAAGGGATGACATCGCTGCCAGTTAATTAGCTCTCAATATTAACTTTTTTTTCCTTTTGCAAATTGAATTCTTAAACATTTTTTTTAATTTTTAAGAACAAAAATAAATGTGTTGGTGTGGCGCTACATGGAGACCTGTAATGCCCGAGACATTAAAGGTAGGTCATCTTCTATAGAGTTAAAAGAAGTCTTTCGCATTACCATTATGGAACAGATTGGATTGTTCGGTCAAACTGGCTGCGAGATTAGGGAGGATGGGGGCATTTGGGTGGTTCATTGGATGGTAGGAGGGGCAATGCTGGGCAAAGTCCAAGGTTAAGGGGGCAAAGGCGCGAGCTTCAGCTAGGGATATGGGGGTGGGGGGGCTTCCCCAGAAATTTTTGAAAAATTGACTACCGGAAATGGTAGTATTTCAGACACAGATCGTCGTGATAAATAGATCTGACCATATACCGCCTATCGCCTGACCAGAGTGGAAAGTGTCAAACGAACGGACTTGCGAACCTCGACGAAGCGCCCTCGTGAGCGCCAAAGTAGCGAGCGGTATGAGGGACCTCTCCCAGATATTTTTTAAAAATAGACAGCCGGAAATGCAGTCTGACAGTATTCGGTCAGGTACCGATTGTCGAGATAAATAGAGTTGACCAGATACCGCCTGACGACAAATCGCTAGTTTATCCAACCAGAGAGGAAAGTGTCAAACCAACAGAGTGATTGAATCAAGGTAAATGAATATTTTTGCGACAATATTTGAGAAATAGTTTGCCGGAAATGCAGTCTGGCAGTATTTCAGACACTGGTTATTGAGATAAACAGAGCTGACCAGATACTGTCTGTCGCCAAATCACTATAGCTTATCTGAACAAAGAGGGCGGTGTCAAACGACTCAAACGGAATGGATAGCCTTGCCGCATTGAGACTATACCCCATAACTTTGAGGATCATGAAAAAGCACCTCTCAACCGGATGGGTTTGGTAAGAAATAACACGGCACGGACTCTACCTCATGCAAGATTATGACTAAGTGAGAATGTGGGATTTAATCACCGTAGAAGGTATTGATTACCGAAACTTATCACGAATATTTTATTTTATTATTGGGGGGAGGGGGGGGGGGCTGAGGGGAGAGCAGATTTATGGGTCCCAAAAAGGTTAATATGTAAGCATAAAGGACTTGTGGGCAGGCGGGCATGTTAAAAATTTATGTGTATGAAAACGTCATACATGATACACAATGCAATTGAAATAACCAGACCACCGGGCAGTTATACGACAATAAACACCGTGGTTTTAATTTCAATAGTTTATAAAATACAGACTTTATGTAGAATGTAATTAACAAACATGTGAGGCAAACCATATGTTCTCAACAACATGTACATCTACATAATAAAAACTTTTACATCGAGTATTTATGGGAGAGTCTTATCAAATATGTGTCTTTTTCCCGTTGTATATACATAAAGAGAGAAATCAATTGCAATAATAAACCTTCAAACTCGGTGTAGTAATGAAATGATATGGGGTTTAACGTCTTACTTTTATACACAAACAGGGCTAGGAATATGGGCAGATGTCATGTCGTGCGCTATGCGGAAACTTTTACCGGGCAGCGCTACGGCATTCGGCATTCGTGCCGCGAATGATATTTACGGCATCTCGATTTTTTGTCCCACCCGAATGACTAGACGCCCTTTGACTGGGTAGCGCTACGCGATTGATATTCACGGCATCTCGATTTTTCGTCCCACTCGAACGACTAGACGCCTTTACCCTCGATCCTGCACGTCAGACATAGGGAAACCATGTTGGAAAATCTTGAAAAGTTTTCTCCACCAACAAATTTTTAAACTAATTATAACAGGAGACTGTTAGAGGTGTCCGATTAGGACCCAATTGTTTATCGGTTCGAATTGACAAAGACCACAAAATACACCAGTCAATTAAAGAAATTACGATTCCCGAAAAATTACTAATATAGATTATGACGATAATGTAAAATTCATGGTGTTTATTATCACGTAAAATCTGATTACCCTTTTCCGAAATTTGGGAGACAGCAGGATTTTCTTTAGTTTGACTCACAAATAAAATACACCCACCATTAGGGGAAGTTTTATGTCACAAAAAGGTTACTTTTACTTAGTGATTGTGCGGGGAAAATTGAGCATTTATTTATTAACCAGTCTATAAAAGAACTAGTAATAATAGTAACTTAATTTATATTTTTTTTTATCTTCCCAGAGATTTTGTGTAATCCCATTAAAAACTCATAAACCGAAGACTACAGCAGCATCCGTACAAGCCAATAAGCATGCTACCATCAGTGATCCGAAATACTACTATCATGATAGTCGTTAATAACCATGATATTAACATAGAAGTTCTGATTACAAAGCAAAATGGGAAGAAATCAAAAATTGATACCAGAACGTTGTTGGAAAATATTGGACAGCATAAAGAAATTCTTGATCATTTGTCCCCACCATCCAAGGCAACTCAAACTGTTAGTAGTGATTCGGTTATTTATCGCGATTTTAGCTGTCAGGCTGCAAATTATCAAACCACGATTGGGTGTCAAACAAGTATATCAGAGAGCACAGATGCTTCAGTACAAGCCGCACCACAAATAATCAATACATTTGTTCAAGTTGTACCAGGATGCAGGGAAGTCTTTGTTCAAGCTACACCACAATTAACCAATACAGGTGTTCAAGCTGTACCGGGATGCAGAGGAGTATTCATTCAAGCTACACCACAATTAACCAGTACATATGTTCAAGCTGTAACAGACTATGTAGAAGCCTCTGTTCAAACTGCACCAACGCTTATTGTCCATGCGACGCAATATGCAGCAGTAGTTAAAACATATCGAGACCAAACGACACAAGAAATCATAGATGTATCTTCACAGGTTAATGCATGGTCCTTCAACAATGTGCCATCATAAGACAGCGGAGCTTGCTCCTTGAACACGGATATAAGAAATCGTGCAAAACGGACCACCAATTATGCAGCTGGCGAAGCACCGTCGTATTCTGGCTTGATTGATTTCAAAAGTGTCATTAGGTTCAACTTACTGCGTTTTGAAAATCACTCGGCTACTCTTCCTTGGAGAACTTCCGACATACCAAAAAGGATACAATACAGCTGCCCAGTACCGATGATGAGTATAGCTTTTTCAAATAAAATACGTAAGGCAAGATTGGATTTTATACTTGGTGTTGAACCAACAGTTCAGCTAACTAGATCAGCTGCTCTGTTGGATCCAGTGTATTTTGTCCCAAAGGCAGAAGCAGAAAGTCACCACCAAGAAGATGCCATCATAGAGGACAGTCTTTTGAACGGCAGCTTGAAAGAAAACTTTGACATCGCCAGTCTGATATATATTGACAGCTTTTGGAATTTCGGCATGAACCACGATGGCATGATGGACACGTTGGGATATGATCCAAGACATTCGCCTTTCTTGCCATCAGGATATGAAGCTTCGAGTGATCTACCTGAAGACCTGGATTCTGTTTTTGTGCCCTCTATCCGATCAAAGGACATTGTGTTTTACAAGAACGATGACGAGTCGTTTAAGGAGATTGGGCGAGGTAGCTATGGTGTCGTATATCTAGGACGGTTGCTGAAAACATCAAAGCAGATTGTTGTAAAGGATTTCTTCAACGAAAGCGTTTGCTGGGAATTTGTGGAACACGAAGCTCGAATTGTGACTCTGTTACAAGGAAAAGACGTAACACCTACATTTCATGGCATCATGACATCAACCATCGACAAGAATGACTTCTCGCTAGCGCAGGAGTTTTTCGGATCTGGAAGCATCGAGGCCACCATGGATAACGATTTGCATAAATATCAGCAAGACGCTATTCAACATCCACAGCTGTCACGTTATCCATAATGACGTTAAGGCTGACAACATCCTGGTGGATCTCGATGGTTTTGATGTCCGTTTCATTGACTTTGGGATGTCAACATTCAGGAAAGGCTTGGAATTTACTGCCAGCTCCTACTACATGTCTAAGTATCAATTCTTGGCTCCCGAAGTCCATGAAAACTGCCAATCAACTCCACAGTCGGACGTCTTCGGCTTGGGTTTTTTATTTGGTCAAATTATGACCCAGGCTAAAGTCGTCCAATTAAGGGCCCTCTGGAAAGCCTATACTAGCGTCCGAGCTCTGTCCAGACCAAGACTACCACACATCATAGCTACCTTAGAAGAATTATAATCTAATTTGCAGTCTAAATTATATTCGAGATAAAATATTTGTAAATCCATGTAATTGAACATTGTCGTTAAACCGTGAAATGCAGAAATGAAAATCAAATTTCTGAGTATAATTTTAAGGCATTATTATTGTAGTTGTAGCGTGTTTGGAAACTTACTGTCTTTGTTTTTGATAATATGTATACAAAATTTATTCTTATGGGTCGTATACTAGTAAACTAAAATGGCCAATTACTATTCAGAATGAAAAGTAATCTGTTTATGTGGTACATATACTTGTGCATTGTATTTTTAAATGTGTATGTTGTATCAGCAGTGGATTAACCAAAATAGTCTGATGCTTTATGTTTTGTTCTGAATAGTTAGGTATCTTTTATGTTAGCCGATAGATTTGTATCTTTCATATACAATTTAAGATAGGTTGGCTGATAGTTTTGTATCATTGATTATTATATATATACAATTTGAAGATGCATTATGTAAGTTTTAGATAAAGTGTTGGCAGTTCTCAAAAAAATCGATAATGCATGAAAAGGGAGAATGTTGAAAAAATTCAGTCAAATTACTTTATTCTGAGCAGAGTTAAGGCCGTTTGAAGAGCAGTGTACTGGGTGTAGTCTTGACTTGTATTACTGCTACCATTGTTACGGTAATAAACGAAGTCTCGATTATCCAATTTTAATTAAATTATTGATTGACAATCGTGTTTAAATCCGCTAAAAATCAAAACCATCCGATGGTCAACAGGGTTGATTTTTGGCATGCGAATAAATGTCTAATTCGTGATTTATATAAAATTTCAGGCAGATTTAGCAAGTCAGCTACGGTAAGAAAAAAAATTAGTTCCTTCACTTTTGGCCTATCGCTCATTCAGTGGTATAAATAATCCAACCATGACCGGCTTTAAGCCAAAAGGACCAGTTGTTTCTTTGGGTTATTTTGGTTAGATTAAAAAAAGATTTTATTTCCATCGTTAATAAATAGTATATCACAGACTTTTGTTTCTCAAAATAATCGACTAAACCACAACGATAAGAATTATTTTTACGAATAATCTTGTGTTTATACAGAGGAGTTGGATCATGCAAGAACATTTACGAGGTATATGTATCGGTAGTGGTTGCCACTTTTAGAATAATTTACATGTGATATCTATATGGTAGTGATGGATATTGCGATAAGAACATAAAAATCTACAATAAATTGCCATAATTCCAACATTATAGTGCTTAAAAAAGGAGACCCGAAAGGAGGGGATCGACCCCTCAAAAAAGATCTCTCTGAGAATCAAGTAAATTCGAATCATTGTAAGGTCAAACTTATGCTATAAATATGACAATGATCTTTCAGGTGATATTATCAAGGAAGGTGCCAACCGATATACTGGAGAAATCATATAGAGAAGTGGGTGGGTTTTTTGTGCAATAACAATAAGCATGTTGAGCAGTTGTCAATGTGACAAGTCATTTATAGCACGCTTCATTCGTTAACAGGTTTAACCCCTCGGCCTTCGGTTAAACCTGTTAACTCGCGAGCTATAAATATAACTTGCCTCGCATTGTGCTGGAAGATATAAACCCAAGGAAATACAGATAAGTACCCCCATCCCTCCTTTTAAACGAAGAGAAGTCCGGATCATGGGAAAAGATACATGGTCTCTATCGTCATTTTGACGTACATGTTTATCTGGGGTAACTGGGGGTCACTTTGCTAAAACACAGAAACTGAGATTTAATACAACATGACATACCAAATAGATGTACTACGTTTTAGTTTTACTGATGTAATCAGATGTACACGATTTTGACAGGAAATTTTAAGCACGCAAACAAATAGAAAAACAAAAACCATGACAATCAGACGCCAAAGTATTAAAAAGAATTTTTTATCATCACATAAACGCTTCGTTTTTTTTAACTGGATTCAAACGGCACTTTTCGTGCACACTTGGAAGCGAACTTATCAATAGCCTCATCAAAATTGAACACATACATGTATGTTCTCCAGTCAACTCGCCTTTTAACCGACGTTTGCAATTCATTCTGCGGAAGCTGCATAATTGGTATTAAAGCGTAATGTGTAATTAACGGTAAATGAACGCATAAAGGTTTTGGGAAAAGGTGGAATTGCTCCGGAATGAAAGGTCCGATGCGGACAAGAAATCACACCAATCCATGCAAGATCTTTTGATATTTTAAGTTTCATTTAAATTGTGACCTCTAAAGGGATCACAGCTAATCCAGGAAGTTACGGTCCAATATGTTCCGAAATCGAACCCATCCGGGACCTTTGGAATACATGTATAGACATCATACTTAATTGTGACCCGTTGCGTGTGATCAAACAAATGGGAACGGGCATTGGGGTTGACTGCGACAACAGCATAATACGCAAACTGAAACAGATTGCATAATACGTCCACAAGAGGAGGTTTGGATGGCCGAATGGTTAGCACGTGCGTGCTGTATCATAAAGCCTGCCATTGAGTCAACTGGCGTGGTTTCGAATCCCTGGTTGTACGTGACAAGGAGTAGGGTCGCCTGTCCAACCTCGTGGGTTTTCTCCGGGTCCTCCGGTTTCCTCCCACTGCTAAAGACCCCTACGCGCAACGAATTATTGAAATAAAAATTAAACCATATGTTAGTCCCGAAATGACCTAGTTTGTGTCGAGTGGACGTTAAACCCCATTTCTCTCTCTCACGTCCACAAGAAATTGATTCACAAGCAATGGAGAACAGACCGTCTATCCGACGACAATATACGTCCATATCATAAAAAAAACTAAGAACACTGAACAATAACTTTTAATTGACGGTAATTATAATCTTTGAATTTATATACCGAAGTCCAAAAGAAAGTGATAAAATGTGATAAAACTACACTGAACACGTCTCGTGCGTCCAAACTCAATATTTCTAAGCAAATAAAAGGCAAAACAAATGAACATTGTACCCAAATACCGCATACAATGGAAAAACGACTTTGTTTGAAACAGGACGAAATGAACAGTGTATACTTCCTTTGGGACTTCAGTATATTTACTTTCTTCTTCTGTTGTTTTTCTTTACAATTGTTGTACGAAATGATGTAAAACGGGTATTTTGCCATCTCAAGACACTTAACAGGAACAGTTCAACATTTTTATATCATGAATGAACATTTTCTTCTCGTTTCCAGGGGATGCCTTCAATTTTTATTTTGACTTGAATCTTTCTGAGACTCATATTGTGTATACCAGTAATTGTCTTATAACAGTTCCATGTATTTGATAAATAAAATTGTTACAATGTTGATTTTCTACCACAAATGTTTGGCAGATAAAATATTCCAGTGGGCTAAATAGAGAATCTCCTACCAGTCTTTTTTGATATCAAAAAATATAAACATAAGTTGATAAAGTAACAAAAACATAAGTTGATAAAGTAACAAAAACATAAGTTGATAAAGTAACAAAAAACGAGGCTCTTTTTTGATATCAAAAAAGACGAGTAGGAGATTTTATTTATCACCCAATCCCTTCTTACATGCACAAATAGATAAATATAATTCTTTGCTGTAGATTTCACTTTTACTGAACATTAAGGCCTAGTGATACATCATTTTTTTTTTTGACAGCAATTCAACCATTGCAAAGTCCTTTATATTGACCTGGTGTTTCCATAAAGGTCAATTGAATAACAATAGTTCATTTTTAATAAAAGTTACTCTTAATAAGAAATGAACTGTTCTTTGAAAATAAAAAAAAGTAGTTCCTTTTCAACTGACCAATGAAATTCATGTAAAGCGAGGAGATATCGCAGTAGATTATGAAATATATCACACAAGCGATATCTACTGTAGAATGTATTATTGGGTGATAAAAATAATATGAACATTTTATTATATTAAAATTATATTCCTTCCTAGTGTGAGCCTTATCTGAGAGTAGGCTACATGTAGGTCACTTTTTATTCCATGATAATCTCCATCTCCGATACAGACAGACCCAGCTGCTAAGTGATACCAGTGACATGAAAGATTTCTTACTGGACTAGATAAAATAAACTGTATGCTTTGTTCTTATACATATATGTACATGTAAATGTTCAAGCTGTACTGTTAGTTTATAATCAATTTATCAAATATCATTTGTAATTCGAACACAATAAAATTAAAATATACACTTGAACATAAATAATTCATGTCTAAAAATCATATCTGAATAATATTTCATTATAATAAATATAATGTAGATAGATATATGTAAAATATATTTAACACATAACACTGACCATTTCAATTAATAATGTTGATTTATTTTCGTCAGTATTCCACAAGAACCAGTCAATTCAGTAAAAATATTTACATAAAGCAAACAACACATTTGAAATGCTGATTTTTTTTGTCAATATTCCACAAGACCCCAGACAATTTAATATAAGCTGACCACACATTTCAAATGCATCTATGATAATACATTTCATTTTCTCATTACAAAAACTATGAAATGAAATGAAATGAAATGGAGTTAATGTTCTACTGTTCTGCTCAGACTGGGCTAATGACGACACAGAATATGAAAACTATGATGATTTTTTTTAGCTATATTTATCTATTATGTCTACTCTCTCTCCACCTGCCTCATTGTTTGATCCAGCAGCTACACAGATCCGATAGTACCGGCCTGTTCAGCCTGTGCTACTTTTTAAGGGAGCATTGCCACCCCACCCACCCCCTCCCATTTCTCATATTTAGCTATTAGTTTACAAACTAGACACATACACATCAATTATTTTTGTTTTTTTAACAACACACTGAAGCAATATATAATGATGAACTAATTATCCACACACCTTGTTCGACACACATAAACAATATTCTACCAATACCATGAAAATAGATATATGCAGGTTAAAAATAATGCATGTTGATCTGAAAGAAAACAGCTACCAATCCAGAATAGAACATATAGGCTATGCTAGAATAATTAACTTTTTCCCTAAAATCCACCACCAAATGGGGCAATTCAACTAGATGAGCCAATTATGTTTTTTTTATAAATAAATGGAAGAAACTCAAACTAAACCATTCCATGGTCACAAATGGAAAGGCTGCAAAATGACATTCTAATATTCTCCTAGTCTTGTTTGTGACAGACACATTCACCTTCACTGTTTTAATATCTGTCTGTTGTGTGAACTTTAATATGTTTTAGTAAGTTACCAATGTCACTGTCTTGTTTTCCGCAAAATTCACACAAGTAGGGTTTTTCACCACTGTGAAGTTTTGAATGAACCATAAGATTTGATTTGTGTCCAAATGTTTTACCACAAACATTGCATTTATAAGGTTTTTCACCATCGTGTGTTTTGTAATGTTTTTCTAGTTGGAGATATGATCGTAACTTTTCGCCACAAACTCGGCAGGTCATAGAAACAGCCTTTTCTTCTTGTTCTATATCCATATTTGTTCAAATAACCTAAAACAGAAAATATAACACATATATCATATTATTATGTATTTTGAATTATGCTTTCTCTACTCAACACAATGATTATCGAGTTCATACGCATAATGCTGTCTTTATAACTAATTCAAAACAAAAATATGCATGCTTGTTTCCAGCTCTCGGTGGACAACATGCTTGTCCGGAACTGTTGTTACATTAGAATATTTTATCGACATGAGAAAGCGGGAGAGGTGAGGGGAGGGGGCTCCCTTATCCAGGGGCTCCAGGAACGCTCACTGATTATGACTGAAGCCAGCTGGACATAATTAGGATTAAAAAAGAAATATGTTATGCACACACATTTTTCACACATAAATAGAAACAACATAAATGTGTAGCTCTGCAAAATTATATGACAGTTGACCATCAGTTGCAGACCTACAAAATAATTATTTAGTTTGTAATATTTTGATAGTACGCCATATTGCCATTTTCATTTCCTGTAGGTTTGTCTAAAAAACAGACCTGGATCACTTGGCTTGCTCATCGTATATCAATCTGTTTCACAGAGAATTACGAGTCTCGTATATCTCTGTCATAGATGACTGCCTTAACACGTGCTGTCACAGCACGCGGTGTGAATCATTGGCTGAATGGCGCGTGCATTATTTACATAAGACATAACTGCTTCGGAGAGAATGCTGCATTTTAGTAAATTTAATACCCATTTACACTAAATCGGAAATAATTTTTACCTACAAATACGTCAAACGCCTTTATTTATTTTTCCAATATATACAAAAAATGTTTTAGAATTTAATTTGTCGCAGGAAAAAAGTTAATATTTCTAGCTCATTAAGCCGCATCAATGTCATCCTTATCAGTGATTGTCGCGGCCAAGCAAATATTCACTGCGGATCAGTGTGATCGTATATTATTAGGACTGACATTAGATTTAAGTATCCCATAATCCTTAAGTAACTCGCCAATTATACAATATTTTAGTCACTTTGAGAAATGTGGTATTGGTGTTTTTTTCGTGGGGGAGGCTGTGTAATTCCAGGCACGAGAATTTTGCCTGCTCTCTTGAGTGGTGTCAATGTCTACAGGATGGATCTCGTGTTTTAGTCCCACCCGAACGACTATGTACATTTTCTTTTGCCCCCTAATTATCATAATGTCGGTGATTAGCATGACCGTATTTGACAAAATTTCAATCAGCCATATTTTTTAAAATTTTTATTAATGAAAAAATTTAAAATATGGATGTATATATTTATAACATTATATATCGTTCCTTGTCAGTCACTTTTTCATCCCAAACTTAGCCTGCCTGTCGACAGCTAGCTCCGCCTGAGAACAGGCCCTAAGCTAATTAACCGACATTTTAATTCCTACATCGACGATTTTAGTCGAAAACACTGAGTATGCTTTTAGTAATTTTTGGAAGTATTTATTTCTCTTGATCTATTGCCATATTGAATGAAATTAAATATGTTTATTTAGCCGCTGTGTGTATGAAAGATGTCAAACTAATCAAAGCCGAATCACAAAATAGTCCTCTAATTATTCAATATGGCGGGGCCAATGAAAGATAATTTCACAGAGGCGGTTTTGCTTGCGGAGACAAATTTATCTAACTTTGTTTTGAAAGATAAACAGATTTAAACTCTAAAGACAGTTTACAATGGCAAAGAATGCATTGCAATATTACCCACTAGCACATATTATATATCGCTTTTACTGGAGTGGCAGAAGTTGACATTTTGCCAATGACATGTGTTTACATAAAACACGTGCTTGGTCGGGTTATTTTTACTCTGTTGTGTACACAAAGCAGTAGTCCGGTCGATAAGTCCCGCCCCAAAATGATCACATGGGCGTTTTAAATGGAGGGCAACTATAGGGCAGTGATCATAATCTCGAAGATGACTTAGATGGATCGCTGCGTGCCGTTTGTCACTTTTTGCAATACTTTGAGTGGTACTGGCAAAAGAAATGCCCTTGTCGGTATGCGTGTGCCCATTTTGATTATCTCAGTCGGTGTAGTAAAGTAGGACGTTAAACCCCATTTTGTTTCATTTCATAATTCATTGGTCTTCATTAGTCTAGTCGGTGCAGAACAGAAGGACGTAAACCCCAATTTAATTTCATAATTCGTTGGGTCGCAGAGAGTCTGAATTTTATTGCGATAATCCTATTCAGATGTTTTTACTGATAGCGAATATGATTAATTATATTTATTTACTGAATTACTTCACTATCCTTTATTTTTGGTCGATGAAACATGGTTTATGTCCTAATTATATACTTACACACTAATAAATTCGACACTGGTCATTAAGAATGTGATTGGTAACTGATTTCATAGCAAATAACTATCGATTTTATCCTGATTTATAAAAATTACCGATATAGTGTCTCATAAAAATAATTAGATTCTGTATGTTTCTAGATCAGTTACCTTATCTCTAGCCTTTTTGTTTTAGCCCCGTTTCAGTCTTCTATATAATAAACTTCAATAAGGAATGGAGCCGCATCTAAATATTAATTTTGATCAATAAAACGTGATTTATACGCTATAGTGCAAATTCGGAAATTCGGGCGGCATGAGTCAAAAAGAAAAAAATGGGTTGTTTTCCGCTGCGTTTTGGTAACTCGTTTATTCTTAATAGTAAACTTGATAAATTCTTCCAAATTGATAAAACTTTAAAACCTACCGGTTTGGCTCGGGTTTTTACTTTTTTATTTTACACAATATGCATCATGGACTAACATGAAAACACGATAGTTAATATCGTATCTATGGTTCCCTATTTTTTATAGCTAATAGGAATTATTTTTATTTACTGAACCACCTTGTTGATTGTAAATTGGGAAAGGGGGGGGGGGGGTCATTAAATTTAAATATACTGAAATGATATACCATGAAAAAATGATTAGAAGCGTCTGGGAGCCAGTGTTCAATGTAGTCAGTCTGGATAGGCGAGACTGAAATTCAGCGGAAGTACACTAGAGTTATCCATTTTTCGCATAAATTTTATTGTGCAAAATTTTTTGCTTTAGGCCTATAGCCTATTTGATGTATTCAGTTTCTTAGAAAGTCTAAATTGTAAGTTTTTAGGTGGTTCATGTTGTAGGTAGCACTAGAATGTGTATCATAGCCAAGACACGCACAATTTCAGACACGCACTGGTTGAATTATAGATAAATAAAACCCATTCTCGACCATGTCACCATGACCACGCCGATGCGGCATGATCATGCGTGTCTGAGATAACAATAGTAATTAGCTAAGGGCTAAATTAGAAATAGTTCCACTACTGATGTCTTTCGCCTTACTCCAGCCACAGTAGTGGCTCGTCCTATGGAGTTCCTTTGCGCAAGTTTTTTTTAGTCAAATGACTACAAAAAGTTTACTAGCCTATAGCCCCCTTAAGTTAATTTACACATGATAAACTGACCCCAAACTGTACTACACATTATGTCACATAGCTTAACATATAATAAACCAATTCTCATTGAAATAAAGGTGTACCGCATAATTATTTGATTTGATGAAACCCAATTGTTTAGAAATTGCATTTTAAAAAATGAATGTAATTTGTAAATCAGTTTATGTACACTCTATCAAGCCTGAACATAAGGCACCTGTCACAGACAATGTCACACACAAATTATCCTACAACATATATTATGACATACATACATGTATATGTTGTGTAATAATTTGTGCCTGATGAGATCTATGATATGTGCCTTACATGTATGTCCAGGCTTGTATGTAATGTGATAATTTGTACTGATCAAAGTCTGTGACTGGTGCCTTATGTCCAGACTTGATCAATATTAGTTCAGCTCTGAATGTAGGTCTCATTACACTAGACCTGTATGTTCAGGAACTGTCCTCTATTGAATCCATGTCAAAAATCAAATCGGCCCCAGTTAAATTTACTGGGCAACTTTTTACTGCTAAACGGTCGTGTGTCAATCACTGTGAACGCCTGAACAATGTAAAAGAACATTTTAGTGAGAAAATAAGACCTTGATTACCTCGCTAGCGTCAGCATGTGCAACACAATATGCTGTTAAAAGTATGGCCCCTTCTGCTAAACAGCTTGGCAGACGGCATTGAAATCTAGATATAGGGGAACGCACAAATATGAGACGAAACGAAATTTAGGTCTGCAGGTGAAACAAAATTGGGATTTTTGAAAAAATTTGATGTGTAAATTATTGTAATTGGGCTAGGCAAAGCAATAAATGACTGAAGATTCTCAACTTTTCAAAGATTTCAATTCCCCCCCCCCCCGACTTACTATATTTTGTTTCGTCTTATATGTGTATATGGCCTAGTTTAGGGTTACCATACAACCGGGACGGTCCTGGTTTTGGGGGTCTTTTCAGCCATCCCGCCCCGATGCCTCTCATGAGCCTAAATTTTAATGTCCCGGTTTTTACATAGGTGTTTTTCAATTGAAAATAATAACACAAAATACATAAACTAGTGATTAATGTATACTGCGTTTGCTACAAACACTCGTGCTTCATCCTCTAAATTTGTGCGTTACCCTAGTGTAATGGGACCTACGTTCAGAGCTGAACTAGATTGATATGTGCCTTTTGACCCATGTTCGCCCATTTTCAGTTTCAAAGAATAGAGATTTAGCTCCTTTAATTTCTGACACACTGATTTATATGATTTGCAGAGAGTGTTAATCCATGCAACATGTGTTGATCAAAATTACATTTGCTATTGTAGGAGTGAATAAATATAAAGATGTATAGAGGTAATGAGCGTTATGGACATCAAGGAGGTGATCAAGTTGATAGAAGGTACGATGAGAGAGATCGTATCATGACAGATGAACGAGATAATCGAAGGAATGACAGGAGAAGTTCAAATGAAGGTTATGACAGCGGATCACGAGACAGCAGGCGATCTGTAAATCGTAGAGTGGAAATGGAATTATTGGAAGAAAGAGAACGTAAACATAAGATGGCAGAGGAACTGCGGATTCGAGAACAACAGCTTGCTATGACTAGTTCTCTTTTAGAAAAACAGTCAATGATGTTACAAAATCTAGAGTCAAATATCATGGCACAAAATGTAAAACCACATCCAGGAAACATGATGCCCATGGGAAATATGAACCAAAATATGCGGATGAACCAACAATTTCGTGGACCAATGAACCATCCGATGGATGGACCCTCACCAGCAAAGCGATTCAGAAATGACCAGGTATGTATGATATATAATAAGCTTACTTATATTTCAATAAATTATTTCACTTTATTTTATTGATAGAATTATCTGAAAGTAATTATCTGTGAAAGTCTACAGGACCTGCTAGATGTTGATGAACAATGAACATTTGTTTATTATAATACTAGCAGGATACCCGGCTTCGCTCGGGGGTCATAACTCCGAAACCAGAAATGGTAAACTCAGCCACCTGGCCTATGTTACTCCCCGGTCCGAGCTACCCCTATACCCCAAATTTCAGACTCGGGGCAGACCTAGTGTAGCCGCCAACCCCGAACAGACAGACTTCGCTCGGGGGTGATAACTCCGAAACCGGAAGTTGTAGACTAACGCCACCTGGCCTATGTTACTCCCCGGTCTGAGCTACCCCTATACCCCAAATGTCAGACTCGGGGCAGACCTAGTGTAGCCGCCAACCCCGAACAGACGGGCTTCGCTCGGGGGTCATAACTCCGAAACCGGAAGTGGTAGACTAATGCCACCTGGCCTATGTTACCCTCCGGTCCGAGCTACCCCTATACCCCAAATGTCAGACTCGGGGCAGACCTAGTTGACTCAATGACAGACTTTATGATACAGCTCGCGCACGCTAACCATTCAGCCATCCAACACCCCCCCCCCAAAAAAAAGTGAAGTGAAGGCGAGAATTACATGTAGGCCAACACACTCGTGGACATTGTATAAATATATGACATGCGCATGTAATGTACACGTGTGTGAAATGGCTTTATTCAATATCCGCTTCCACCGAAATGAATTGGGCGACATTTAAAGTAGATGTATATTGTCACAGCGGAGATTTGTCGCCGATTAACACAGACAGACTAAGAAAATAATCCCAATATTGGCGCGTTTCTGACCATGTGACTTACCGTTAAGCACCCCGTGGAGTGGATCGAGTGCTCTATGAATTATTGATTTAGATTAACTGAAGCTGCAAGCTCATCGTATGACGTATATAATTTAAAGTTTGTGGATTTTATAGCAGCCAATAATTGATGGATTACATCTAAGTTATAGATGAAGATGTAATGATACGTTGTAAAAAAAAAAATTGTAAGTTGTTCATTGTTGCATACATTTTGGCCGACGTTATATGCATGTACAGTGCGTTAGAAAAAAAATCCTAACCGATACAGAATGCCGGTAAATGTTTTCCCGAGATTACCGAACTCATTTTGTTGTTATTCAAACCGGCCTGTACATTATACATGTACACGTTTTCACGGCAGCATTACTATATTACAACTCCTTCAATATAAACATTTCGTTAAAATCTGAACAACGCATGTGAAATTGGATGTTCGGCAACAGAATTGAATACCTGGCGTAATTGGACACCTTGACTAATTTTAATCACAACTCGGGAAATTGAACGGTCCAACTAATTATTGAACAGTCGTCAAAATTAAGCGGGACGCTTATAATTACACACGTGTAGACAAACTAAACACTAGTCAATTAACGCTTGGTAATCAAAATTGCACGTTAAGATTTAAGTTGTATACAAGGACAAATTGAATGCTATTAGGCCAAATTCAATGATATTTATGAATAATTCTACATAGATTAGATAATAACGCTATTTACCCAAGATTCCACGGTACCAGTCGTATAGTGAGTGTAGCCGCCAACCCCGAACAGACAGACAGACAGACAGACAAACGACAGTCACAAATATATATATAGATATTATATTCCAGAATTTAATAGTACAGTACCACTGTATTTTAGTTACAGGCATATATGACTGCTTATTGACTGCAATTCCTAAATAAGCGATAACCCAAAGTACTTCTACCCGTTATTCTGGAAATACATAAGCTCATGTATTCTGTAAGCCAGTAGAAAACATCTTAAGACAAGTTATTTGAACCTGTTATTATTACTTTTATATGTTTTCTGAGGGCTTTATGAGGTTCATATTGTTATTTTGATAATTACTCATTTGTATCTGAAGTAGACTTTACGAAGATACATTATGGGAGATTAGATAAAGAGCTGGCAGTTCTCACTATAATAGTTAAAAACTAGATAATGTAAAGGGAATTTGCTGATTTTAGCGATTGAATTTTCGACCTAGCCGTGATCATCATTACTGAAGTCGGTACGATAAAAAAAACATAGTCTCGATTATCCATTTCATGATTAAATCATGAATGGAAGTTAAACAGCAAATCGGAACCTAATGCAATAAACATCGCAGGCTAGCAATGACATCAAGAGTTGATTTGGTCTGGATAAGTTAATTAATGTCTAATTAACAATTTAGATAACCTTTCAGGCCTAAAGAAAGACCTGTAATAGGCAGATTTAGCTCTTGCATAATGTATGTTTAACTTGTACCACACACAGCCATGTGATTTATCAGATTAATGAACAAAAATTGAGTTTGAACTGCAAGACTGATCTGAACAATCTGAACATGTGTATTATTAAATTTATGATAAATTTATAAGGCAGGTTCATAAAAAATTCACATAGTCCAAAACTAAAAACCTCAAGAGATGCCTTGCTGATAGGTTTTGATTTAATTTGCACATTGAGGTGTCATTAAGATATGGAATGATCTTTTGGGGCATAATGTAGCTCCTTGTGTAGGCCGGGAAAGTTCCTCAGGATTTTCCAGCGTGAGGTCCTGATGAGGAAGAGTGTCTAGTAGTTCGAAATGGACAGGGGGGCCACGGTGGCTAAGTGGGTAAGACGCTGACTTGCTAGCCCGGAGGTTGGGTTTTCGATCCCTGCATTGGCCAAGAAAGTTCATCCAGATTTTCTGGTTTGGGTTCCAGTGATGTAGGACAGAGGGCCTAACAAGGACAGCTGTCTAGTCATTTGGATAGGACAAAAAACTGAGGTCCCGTGTACACATTGGCATGCACGTAAAAGATCCCTTGATTGTTGGAATTCGATATAAGAGTAGGCCATCGTGCCACTGTCTGGGCAAAATTTCCCTCATAGCACACTGTATGGCGTATGCCTGTCTTCATTAGTCCAGTTCAGAGCAGAATAGTAGGACGTTAAACCCCATTTCATTGCATTTCGAATTGGACAGAGAACTGTAGTCCTGTGTACACGTTAGCGTGCATGTAATAGAACCGTAACAGTTGGAATTTGAAATAAGAGTAGGCAGTAGTACAGCTGTTCTGGCAAAATTTCCATAAAAGCACACTGTGTGGTGTATGCTCGTCTTAATTAGCCCAGTCGATGCAGAAAAGTAGGATATTAAACCCCATTTCATTGCATTTCTGTATCCTTGAATAAACTTAGTTATTTTGTGCAGCCAGCTGTGTGCCATAACAATAGTAGCCTACATGTACAATGTATATAATAGTAGTAGTAGTAACAAGGTTTTTACATATACATAAATATTATTACCTGTGTAGGTAAAATATGGAAGTTATAGAAAAATGACTTCAGATGGGATATAAAAGAAAAACCCAGAACATGATGTACTCGACACAATCTCTGTCAATTTTGGACAATTCTTGATGCGCTAAATTAAATTAATTAATTATCATCGAAAGAAAGCAAATACTAAAACTTATGGTTAAATAAAAAAATAAACGAAAACTATTTCAGTAAGGTTAATGAAGCATACATGTACATGATTCAATACTTTGTAAGTTGGTACAGCAAGCGAACTATGAATGATGGACTGACTCTGCTGTGAACCCAAAAGGTCCAATGTTGTGGCGAGTGCATACTGTGTTCTTTTGGCTATGTTAAAGCTATATTAGGCTGCTATTGTTTCTTTGAAATGGGCCTCTTTCATCATCAGAAAAGATCCAAATACATATAGCTGTAAACCTTCGAAATACAGGTAACATAAAATACAAGCATTGATTAATGAAATCTGAACATCTCCAATAAGTTAAAAGTGGTACCAGGTGTTCTAGAGAGGGATGCTAAGACATTTGTATATGGCTTCGTTGTAATCTGTACTGCTTAGAGGTTAATGTATTCAGACAAAGCAGAGTCTGATTGAATATAATGTTGGTACTGAATAACCGAGAGAAAGAGTGTCAAAATCTGCATTACCAAATACAACTATCACGTGTGTAGCCATTAACTTTGCAAGACTTTTGATGGCATCCTTACAAAATAAGTTATGGCTCTTGCGTAAAGCGAGAATAAAATTGGCATGAACGTACATGTGTATGTTAGATGTAAATTATAGCAGTTTGTGCTACATACAATTAGAATCCCATTTTGATCAATATTGGACCAAGTTAACTTGTCCAAGCGCAGTTGATTAGCTACCCCAATCTTATATGGCTTACAATGAAATTGTAAAGAGATGTGACATGTAGTGCCAATCCTAAGGGGATTGGAATTAAGTTCTGTAAATATCTCCTTTCATTTTAAACAAAATTAAGATAAGTATTGATAATGATCTAAATTCGACATTTTGTTGTATTGGTATTATGGTTGATTTAAAAATCAAATGTGCTATGTGGTAGTTTCAGTTCCAAGGTGGAAGCAGAAATGATGCAGGTCCAGAAGGAAGAGGAGATCGTCAAGACAACAGAAACAAATCTCTAGGTATTCAATATATGTAACATATGTAAATTGAGATGTGATTTGATGTGGTAATTATAAAATTATCTTTCAAATTGTTATTCTGATTTCTGTATGCTTGGTCTGTATTAAGATACATTCCCATGTGGAATCAGATATATTAGTAGTACCTAGTGTGCCTAAGTTTGCCTTAAGTGCAAACAAAGGAAATATGTAGTGAATAAGGAAAAATGAAACTACTGGGATAAGATGGCAGAAACAGAAAAAATATCTAATAAAAGGCAATAATGTTTTGGGGCATCAGCAGGACTGAAAAAAATGGTTTAGTTGTACCTGACAAAATGTTGTGCTCTACTGACATTTTGAACTTAGTCCATCAGTGGTGGTCATGTACTATAAATAACAATAAAAAGACAGAATATAGACCAATCGGTGCCGGATAAAATGACAAATATACTAGAGGGATTGTGGCTGACAAAGCCTGAAATTGTACCGGTCAATTTCAGTGACAGACGCTCTAATTGCAGGCGTGGACATCGGAAATGTGTGTAGTCAGAGAATTTTTTATTGGACACCATATCTTCTTCATTTTCGTAAGCAATTTGTGCTAGACAGTGCCTGTGACAGGTGCCTTATATCCAGAAGTGTATGTAGCCAGCAATTTTTTTTATTGGAAACCATATGTTCTTACATTTCCGTAAGAAATATGAATATCGATGTCTAGCCTAATGAAAAGGCAAGTAGAAGTTAACCTGAAGATTGAGCCTAGTGAAGAGATCCAAAGATAGTTATTCAAGTTATGGAATCAGAACACTGTTTAATATTAATCTTGATGTGAGAAATATCCACAATGAAACATGTATACCCCGAAACACCAGAAAGATAAGCCCAAGACATCAAACATATTGACTGTATTGTGGAATTGAGTGTCTCCCTCTTTGGCGACTCTTAATCAACAAGAATGATACATACATTTATCCACAGAAAAACACAAGCCAGAGTCATCAAACACCGACAAGATGGATATAGCTTGATATTTTACTGAATTTATTTCATAGAGATATATATTTTTCAAGATGTTGTAAGCAGATAATATGTGTGCTTATTTTGCACCAACATGTACCAAAGTGATGACAGTAGATACACAGCATTTCAGTTACTTTGAATGATACAGTACTACGGTATATGAAATTGTACTTGAAAGTATGACAAGGATGATATTTTCCAGTTTTTATAAAGGAACCATACTTGTCGACAGAAATTAGCCATCGCTAAGAAAGTTATTATTTAAGGTTTTACAATGGAGAACCTTAAAAATTTGTAGAAAAGTAATACCAAACATATATCTTGAACCAGTAGTATACTACAAAGGCTGTGTCTCAGCAGAACCAGAACTGCTTTCATCTTCATTTAGCTGTATTGTATCTAGTAATAATGGTAGACTTTTTTGTGTGGGAATATTTTGCCTTAATACAATATTTAATGAGTTGTGAAGAGACAAGAAAAGTCTGGTAACAAAAAGGACATTTTTTTGCAATCTATAATATGTTGCTAATTATTAATGTACGTGATTTGAGTAGCTGAAAGTGAAAGATCTAAACTTTCATCCTGGATGTTCTGTTATTATGGATATATAGTTCTTGTGGTGCCTTTTAATCCATTCCGCCTTTTCACATATTCTGTATGCAGTTACATGTAGATCTGTCGTTGAACTGAGCAAGATGATTGTTCTGATGTTAGAGTGTTACTGTTTCCAGTCTCCGGAATCTTCCAACAAGTGAACATTCCAACCTGATTGTTGCTATGGATTGGTCACGTTTTTTGGAACGAATTTTAAGTATTATAATTCTCAATGGTGAAGATATTGTTGCTTTATTGTTAGTAATGTTTCCAGTGTTGTTTCAATTCTGTCTAATTTTATCTTCTTTTATTAACATTAACACACTATGGTATAAATTTATTGTTAGATGTATACACTAAGGTAAGTTTTTCCAATGTGATTGGTAATATAAAGTTACAATGTATTATATATAATTTTTGATTTTTTTTTTAGCTAAAAGGAAGTGTTATGTTTGTGACAAATTTGGTCATTTAGCTAAAGATTGTAAAAGCAAAATTGACAGAAGTTCTTGTAAGTTACATGTATTTAGTATTCTTAAACTTGCATGTTTAAAGTTGTATAATATTGATAACTGTCTATCCATTATGGTAGCCACTGAAGCTTGGTGATCATGGCGCTGGTCAACTAACAAAGATGTCCTGGGATCGATCTCTGTGTTGTGTGAAGAAGTTCCTTGGTATTTTCCGGCATTGGGGTCCTTGCAAGAAACAGCGTCTTGTTGTTAGTATGGTACGAAAGCCAATATCTCGTGTACACATTAAAGAACCCTTGACAGTTGGAATTCGAAATAAAAGTAAAAGTCGTACATTATTAACTGTCTTTCCATTTGTGGGGTATCCATTTGTTGGAAAAATTTTTAAAGACTTTATTCAGTAAGGGAGATTTTTGGTTTGGATTGTCTGAATAGTCATTAGCAGCTATTTGTCATTGCAAATAATTGTGTCACTCTACATAAAATGGTCTGGGTATTGAGACGAATAGCTGAATGCTAAAATTAGCTCAAAGTTTCAACACAATCTGTTGCCTGGCAACATATCTTCAGTGAGTTTATTTGAAGTATTTTAATTATTATTTTTCAACAGATCCAAATAAACCTAACAATATTTCAAGATCACCACAGAGCAAGCCTTTAGCAGGAGGAAAATCACTCGAGACTTGCTTTAAATGTGGCGAAAAGGGTCATTTTTTTAGGGACTGTAGGAAACGAAAGTCTGGTAAGTCATTTAGATCAGAACCATCCTGTCTTGTTATATTTTTTTTTTTTCAAGATTTGTTAGAATTCAGTTGCTGTCCTGCCCTGCACTGTACAGAATTATGAAAAATATTTGAATCTTGATTGTTGGGTATGTACATGTACATCAGTATCGAGATGAACTTGCTACCAAGATGTTGTACCATGAACTGTGATTCTTAAGAGTTCTGTATGTCATGTCCTGATGTGGGAATGAAAGTAGGCCCAACAAGGAAGAAAGTATATCTATCGATTTAAATTGGATGAACACCGAGGCAAAATTCTTCTTGAGTTTGAGCTGTGTAAAATAGGCTTTTCTTCATACCTGTCGCTTCAGTAAATAACCTGTCAATCTCAATTATCGAACTCAAAGACTAATCACATCACACATATCCATACATGTAGGTACACACACACACGTGGTTAGGTCTTTGACGTACATTGCTCTATATAAATATCGTAATATGAAACCTTTTTATTCTTCGACATCGGATTGCCTAAAAGTTCTTGAAAGTCGGCGAATCTGCTTTGGCTCATCGACTCGAAGATTCGTACAATTCTATCATCCGTATCCACGTGAATTCCGCAAAGTATCATGGTACCACACTTCCGTATTAAATTGAATACTTCACAGTTGAGTTGTAGAATTCAGATTTTAAAATATCCGTAATAAATTGAATATCAAAACACAAATCACACCTGTTCATGGCACCGTATTTACATGTACCGCGTGCGAAGGACAGATAACGCCACCTGGAATTCCCTTCTCACATATCCGGACTATATTTACGCTACAAATTATATTTATATATGAAATATTTTTCCGACCTGATTTTTTGATTTGAATATTTCGAGCCATGTTACTTTCAATATATGTATGCATGCAATCTGATTAAAACACAGATCCTATTTTGTTGCCAAGCAACCTATCTGTTTTGATCTATATTTAGATTTAATTTCTATACAGTTTTTTTGTATTATTTATTGAACAGATCTAGGAAGTAAACCAGATGATAAGTCAGAGGTACAGTATAGATTTACCACTAACATATAGCTTGTCTCTGGTAGCATCACTCTTGATGGGGGTTTGGCTGGCCTAATGGTTTAAGGCATACATATTAGATCATGTGGTCTGTCATTGAGTCAATGGCGTTGTTTTGATACTGAGTTTGTATGTGACAGAACCTTTTGGGTTTTTTTTGGGGTTCTTCCGATTTTCTCCCCCCCATGGCTAAAGACCCCAAAGCACACGCGAATTATTGAAACAGAATTGAACCACTTGTTAGTACCGAAATGGCCTAGTGAATTAGGTCACACAAAATAATATATTCTGTTTCTCAGAAACTGCTGCATCATCAGTTAATTTTTTTTAATAAAAATGAGAAAGTCAACAATTTCCACTCGTTCATATTTCCTGTGATCGAGGGAAGTAACTCTATTAAATGTTCTTGATAACAGGAAATAAACACTATCAAGTATATAAACATGAGAAACACTATGGACAATTATGAACGGCACTGGATAATTGATTGTTAATTTATTATTCGCAATGATGCGATGGCGACAATTTTGCTGTCAATCAGGCTTTTTCTATTTTTTTTGTGTTCTCTTATCTAATGACATTCAATTACTTTTTTGAATTGTAAGATATACTCTTACAGTCTTATATAACAAATTTTGGTCTTCGAAGGAATTATTAGTGAGCAGAAATTCGCCCATGTATCTGTTATCACTTGTCACTTCTGTCAGTTATATAGAGGGATAACTTGTGTTTTCCTTTTGCCTTCGTCAGTTCCGATTGTTGACGGATTGATTGCGCATCTATCGTAACAGTTTTATCACATATGTGATAATGACTGGCACCAATATTGTCCTTTAATAACTTGTCTGTTTTTATACACAAACAAAAATTGAATGTAGATATATTTTGTTCATCCCTGCTCATCAGTCTATACCAAAAGAAGAGCAAAGTCAGTTTCAAAAGAAAATTTTTGGAGTTATTTCCCTTACATGTATTACTTTGATTGGGTCACAAGGAAGAACCATTTTAAATTTCATAACTTTTGGATTGTAAATTTTAAATGTGTTTTGCACAGTCATTTTTATGTTCATATATTTTTTACTTTTACAGCATAATACAGGGGTTCATAATTTAATAGATTTTTTAAACTTTCTACTTGTGGGAATTTAGAGTATGTCCTTGTCTATGTTTATTTGTGTTTTTATACACCCACATGGAAATGTGGTCGTATATCAATATTTAAATTTAATATTTTCAGACTACAAAAGGCCCAGGTAGATTTAGTGACATGAAACCATTTAAGAAACCAGAATTCAAAAGACAGACTTTCCATCAGTATGTAATTGTATATAGAGGTCACGATTTTTATCCGATGTTGATGAAACTTAAAAATATGTTTATAACCCAAAGATCTTGGTTCCTTTTTATATTAGCACATATCGGTCATAACTTCCAGGATTAAATTTTTGTCCGATTTAAAAAAAAAACTTTTAATTATATCACCGTTGCCTCATAATGACAGTTGTACATGTAGTTCAAATTTTGTTAGAATCGTACAGAAACCGCCCTGACAAAATGCCCACTCCTCTTTCGCAAATAGTATAAAATTATGTGCTACAAAATTTTGTGGACCTTCCGGAGGTCACAATTTGTATCCGATTTTGATGAAATTTAGAATATATGTCTTTATCCCTAAGATCTCGGTTCCTGTCGATACTTGTGTGTATCGGACCGTAGCTTCCAGGACAATGAACCCTGATTGTACAAAAAATCGCTTCTTTTTTTTTTTTAGCAGTTTATCAGCAGTATATAGAACTATATTTGTATCACCAGTATCAGGTCCTGTGTACACATTGGTGTGCACGTAGAAGATCCCTTAACAGTTGGAATTTCATATAAGAGTAGGCCGTAGTGCTGCTGTCCGGGCAAAATTTCCCTCATAGTACACTGTATGGCGTATGCCCGTCTTCATTAGCCCAGTTCGGAGCAGAGGACATTAAACGCCATATCATTTCTGTTGCTTGGATGCTGTTTATTACTTGGCCACATAATGGAGGGATGGAGCAAGTCAAAGAGTAAAATTTGGACAGTCTGTGGTTATAATCTGTGATTATTCAGATTTGTTCAAATAAAACTGATCAGCAACTTAGATGTTTATACAATAAAATTGCTTGATCACAAGAACAAGCCAGTTTAGACATTTTCCCAAAGAGAAGTAAATAATATTTTGATAGCCTTACCCAACCCACCGATTGTGCCGATTAAATTAACCTGGACTCTTGTTTTTGTTTACAGACGGAATCCGAATACTTGTAGATTATGTGTTAAAACTGTAAGTGAATGGCAAAAACATCTTAAAGATCCAGAGCATATGGTATGTCTATGTTACATTATTATCTATCTGTACTTATTGTTGTTATGTAACTGAAATCGTAGCGGTTGTATTTCTGTATAGCACTGTAAAGTTGATATCGTTCACTTATGATGAGAGCAAATGTAAATGTATGACACAAACAGTAGTCATTATTTTATATACATAATGTTTACTCATCGGTGATTTGGCTGTAATCATTAAGTAGGTGTTATGTCACTATCGAATGATATACAGTAGACTCTGTCAAATCCGACATCGTACGGGATCGTTACAATATGTCGGATTACGCAGAGTGTCGGAATACTCAGTTTTCTCAAAACCGGACATACTGTAACTTCGAAAACCGGAAGTATTATTATAATGTAGCTTCGAATGCCCAGAACGTTATTACCTTTAAAAATAATAAACCTTTCTGTACATTCAAAATTTTATTACATTAATTTTTATTTCATTTAACATGCGTAGGCATTTTGAATAGGTCAAGTCTGTCGTTAATTTATCGTTTTCAGTTGATTGCACACGTGTTTATTGATAATCTGTCGTTCTATGTGAGGGTCGTCGTCATACGGTTCGGATAGATTCGTAGGCTGAACAAACTTAGGTATTCAGGTTCAATCGGCATGCACATCGAATGTTTCCAAGAGGTGCTAGGAATATTTTTGGGGCTGTGGATTCGTGGGAAAATTCATGGATATTCTTGAGTACTTGTCCCAACTGTCTTACAAGAGATTATAAAAATATCAAAGTAATCAACAAAGACCTACGCTAACAAGTTTTAATCTCACCGATAATTGATTGGTGATTGCTTGTTAATCTTTTGTGGCTTCACACCCACCAATTGAAGGACGGATTATACAATGTTGATTCAATAGCAATCGTGTAACGGGACGGCTGATTGATGCCGTATTTCGAAATATTCAGAGTACAGATTACCCAGAGATTATTTGGCTGAAGTAATAAGGAAATAAATTGGGACATGAAAATGATGTCGGATTTCACAGAGTGCCGGAGTAATCAGAGGTCGGATGTGACAGAGTCCACTGTACACCACTATTGGTTGGGTTTAAACTTTTACATCTTATGCAGCTAGTTAGACACCTGCTAATTGATGACTAATGATTAACCAACTTTCTATACACGCTAACCATTAGTTTAGAGTAATGATGACTTGTATGTGTTAATGACAAAAATTTCTATTAGTAAAAGGCGTGGATCATAAGTGAACAATATAAGTTTTCATGAAGTTCTAAACATCTTCATTGTTTTCAATTATTTTTAGCTAACTAGTATAATGCTAGTTATTCAAATTTCATCGAAATTATTTGTTTTTATTTTGCTTTTCCATATTGTTTTCTTTGTGTTTTTCTAATTATTTGTTTTTATTTTGCTTTCCCATATTGTTTTCTTTGTGTTTTTCTAGAGAATAAGTGAAATATGTCGAAAGGGATGTAAAGTTTGTGCAAAAAAGAGATTTAATACAATATTTGCCTATAATAAACATCAGGATTCACCGTTACACAGAGCGGTAAGTATTACTATGTATTTTAATATGGAAATAAATCTTAACGGTAGATAATCTTCCAGCTTGGATTCAATCCAATTAGAAAGAGATTTTATCCAGCACTAGTAGGTGGTGCTGGCATTTTTTATATTGTCTGCAGAGGATGGTGAATATCTTTTGCGAAATTTTCAATTCATTACGTCTTTGTGAATAATGAATGGATTAGAACCATTTTTTGGACTAATATTTCTCTTAGAGATTCAACTTCCACAATGCTGTAGTTTACAAGGGATTAACAAATCTGAACATTACAATCAAGACTTTATATTCCAGACTATATGAGCTGTAATAAACATTAACTCTGAATGAATGTATTAAAAATAATTCTCATAAAGCTTAAAGATACATTATGGGAGATTCGATAACGAGTTGGCAGTTCTCATTATAATAGTTAAAAACTAGATTCATTCAAATTGATCCACTATGAACCAAGAACTAAGCGGTTGAAATTATCCATTCAATCGTTAAATCGTGAAGGAAAGTTATGCAGTAAATCGGCTCATAATCCACTAAAGATCGCAGGCTAGTGATGCCATCTAGAGTTGATTATGGTCTTCATAGGTTAATTAATATCTAATTAATAGTTTAGATAACATTTCAGGCCTAAAGAAAGACCTGCAATAGGCAGATTTAGCTCTTGCATAATGCATGTTTAAGGATATGATTCATCTCTTTGTAATTTACAACTAAGGGCTTGAAGAAAAGGGGGAGCAGCGATGGCTCAGTGAGTAATACGCTGGCTCACTAACCAGGAAGTCTTGCAGAGAAAGTATCTGGGGATTTTCCGGCACTGTTTCTCCTTGACAGTGGTGAAGGACAGAGGGCGTGGCAAGAAGAATGTCTAGTTGTTCGGATGGGACGGAAAACCAAGATCCTGCGTACACATTGACGTGCATGTAAAAGAACCATTGACGGTTAGAATTCGAAATAAAGAGTAGGCCATAGGCAAAAGTATACTTTTTATAGCTGAACCAAGATAAAGATTGTATAAGTCACTACCTGTAGTATATAATGGCATTTTGTCCTTCCAGTTGATCAATAAGAAGAAACAGGTTATAGAATCAAAGATCAATCCATATTCTGCTGAAAAAGTTACAGGTAAACAAATTATATGTCTACATTTTACTTTTAATTTCCCATAAGTGGTAGGGTTCCCATATTCAATTTTATTACAGACTGTTATGTTATGCCATAACTGAGGAGGTATTGTCAAATGTCCGTCTCTCAGTGTGTCGTCCAAACTTTCTTGTGAACACTCTACAGACTACATTTATAATCTGATTGTTTTGAAATTGATATATGTTGTTTACATTACTGAGATGAAGAATCATATTTAATTTCAATAATTTCCGTTAATTTCTTCTGGAGTTCTGGCCCTTGTTTCACTTTATTGCACCTTGTGAACACTCTAATAACAAAAATTATCATCCGATCTATGTGAAATTTGTAGGCATCGTTTAAATTAGTAAAACAAAGAAACCTATTGAATTTCAGCTATTTGTTAATTACGTCTAGAGTTATGGCCCTTCCTTCATTTTGTTGAACCGTGTGAATGCTTGAACGACAAAAGTCATCATCCGATCTGTAGCTATATGATCTGTATGAAATTTATATGGATTATTTAAATTAGTGGAAAGAAGAAGTCTTTGAATTTCAGTAATTTCTGTTAACTGCTGCTAGAGTTATGACCCTTGTTTCACTTTGTTGAACCCTGTGTATTCTGTAATGACAAAAGTTATCATCTGATCTATATGAAATTTATATGTGTTATTTAAATTGGTGAAACAAAGTGGCCTCTTGAATTTCATCAATTTCCGTTAATTACATCTGGAGTTATGGCCCTTGTTTCACTTTCTTGAACCTTGTGAATGCTCGAACGGCAAAAGTCATCATCCAATCTGTATGAAATTTATATACATTATTTAAATTAGCAAAACAAAAAAGGCTGTCGAACTTCAGTTTGTAGCACCTTGTGAACTCTCCAAGGACGAAAATTATAATCTGATCTGTATGAATATGTCTTGTGAATTCTCCCCATTACCTCAAAAGATTAAATATTTGACAATCGACTGCTCGGACAATTTAGCTGTTGTAGGCGTATGTTTCGTTGCCTGGCAAACTATCTTGTAATTACAGGTGTAGAATATGTGGTACCAGTAACTGGTTTCTTCTGTAAACTATGTAAGAAATTCTACAACAAGGAACAATATGCTAAAGTACAACATTGTCAAACCAAGGCTCATTATGAACAAGTTTCTGTGAGTATTCCATTCTAAAAGTGACCCTTAGACTATACACCAACTGGAGTTTTGTTCTTCACTAAAGGGGCCCATACACGTTCAATAATTCCATCAATATTATTGACTCAATAATATTGAACGTGTGTGAGCTATATTGATGTAAAATATTGTCAATGACCATCATTGCGTCAATATATTGACGGATCAAAACCATTTTGATTTTTATTGATGGTTCATCAAAATATTGACGGATGGTCAATTTATTGAATGACAATATTGATCGTGTGTGGAGAATCTGTCAATAATTGCGTCAATATTTTCATTCCATTGCAACCTTGGAAGAGTAAACATGGCATCCATTTTGAAAAATGACCAAAAAATGATGAAATTATTGATGGAAATATTGAATCGTGTGTGGGCAATTCCCGTCAATATTATTGAGTCAATATATTGGGTCAATAATATTGATGGTTTTATTGAACGTGTATGGGCTGCTTTACACATTAAAATTCAGTTTCCTAGTTCTTGGAGGGAAAAAAATATTTAAAATAAAAAACTTTCTTTCTCTTAGTATTTTAAAGAATATATTTTTTCGATTATTTATTTAGCTTAATTATGTACAATCATAAAGGGAATAATATAAATAACTGGATACAGCAACTTAGTGCTTATATAAATAACTGGATACAACAACTTAGTGCTTATATAAAGAATATATTGTTCTGTAGACAAATTAGGACCAAGCTTGAAATTCATTTCAGATTATTCTAGTGTTGAATAACTATTGGTTTGTTTATTTGTCTTTCAGGCGGTTATTGGTAGTAAATATGAAACAGCTGTTGGTGCTAAATTTGCAGAATTATCTGCAAAAGTTACCAAGGATAATAAAAAACCATCTCAGTTGGACCGACAAATTATAGAAGCTGTAAGAAAGGCTGATTTTGTCACTGGAATAAAACCCATAAAACCTGTGGTGAAGCCAAAGCCTGAAAATGGCGCAGGTGACAAGAAAAAAGAGGTAAAGCCTGATGCAGAAAGTGAAGCAACTACCCCAGCAGATGATAAAACAAAAACAGAGACTACAGATGCTACTGAAGATAATCCAGAAAGTGCTACGGAGAAACATGGTACTCCTGATAGAGAGTCTGAAGATGAAGGAAGCATCCATCCTGATGATTTAGAAATGGAGGTTTTAGATGCTGTAGATGAGGATCAGGATGAGGAAGACAAGGATGCAGAGATCAAAGAGGAACAAGAGGACAAAGAGGGACAAGAGGACACAGAGGAACAAAAGGACACAGAGGAACAAGAGGACACAGAGGTCAAAGAAGACACAGAAATCACAGAACAACAAGAGGAGACTGAAGACAAAGAATGAATTCCTCTTTAAGCTGTAAATTTAGATACATTCTTTCTATGTAGAGTTGTATATCATTAATTTTTATAAAATCAAAAATTAAATTTTCCTGTACATTAAAACTGAAGATTGTCATTTGAGAACCAAGTTCTTGTGTACACGTTTGCTTGCACATAACAGAAACCGTGACAATTGAAATTGGAAATAGAGTAGGCCATAGCACCACTGTCTGAACAACCACTTATAAATAGCACACTGCATGGCGTATGCCTGTCTACATTAGCCCGTTCGGTGTGGCACAGAAGGGTGTTAAACCCGATTTCGGTCTAAATCTCAAGCCCCTATATACATGTAGCAGTTTAAACTTAACACTATTACATTGTATAACAGATGGATTTAGATTTTTAAATTTTGGTAATTTGTAAATGTAATGTGTTGAATATATTCATATCTGTTTTTGAATTTTGTATGAAATAAAATCCATGGCAAATAATTATTTACTATTTATTAAATGGTATTTTTAGTCAAATGAGACATTTAGATTAAATTTGAATGTTAAAGGGTAGAAACTTGTACATTGTGTGGTTTATATACGGTTATATTGTTCCAAATCATGATATATTTTATCTTTCTGTCAGTAATTTTTTTTTTGTCATGTATGACAGAGGTGTCATCTCTAATAAGAGAAAAAAGATGGTTTTACATTATTTTTCAGAGTTATTTCCCTTGTAATAGTGTATGGTTCACGGGCAATATCCTTATCAAAAATCCTAAAACTGGGATAAAATATTTAGATGCTGTATTTAATGAGATTGTTTTTATTTTTCAATATTTGAAATCAAAACAGGTCATGCGGCCATATTAAAATGACACAGGATTATATGAGAACCAGAATTTTTTTTCTTATATGGATAAACTAATCTTGTGTTCTTAATGTCTATTGGGAAATATATACTACTGCTTCTTAAATATCTTATGTTATTCTTTAGTCCAATCTGAGTAAAATACAGATCTATATTTCGTTATTTTATATATTCAATGGCTTACACTACATGACGGTCTGATCGGTTGTACTGGAAGGTTGCGTCAGGGGTCGCACAAATGGTTTTTTTACCCTATGGCATCAGACATTGATTAATCAATCAACATTGACGTTTCTAGTGGTTTACCCACAGTTCCGTGCATCGCACACCAAGAACTCGCCGTAACAGACCGTTTCATTGGCTAATCCTTCACTTCAACCAGAATTCAGGTAATATAACAACTCTTCCAGATCCAAGTGTAGTAAAGGCAAGTAAAACTAAATTTTGAACAATAAGAAATGAAACGAAATAGGATCTGTGTTTTAATCAGATTTTCAGTAGTCTTGATCATTCCAGCCTATGTTGTCTCCAATTAACTCCAACAAATAATAGCAGCCAGCCATTGTGTCAGGTAAATAGCTTTATGAATACACATGAGTGGGCAGGTCAGTCGAGTGGTCAGGACACAGGATTCAAATCCTGGTGTTGTATGAAAAGAATCTCTGGATATTTGTAGCTCTGTCACGGGTAATGTGCACAGGACTACCACTACACGCTAAAACTGATACGACAAACTTGCGGCCAAGACACACGAACTACGCAGACATTGCAAGCAATAAGAAAGAGTATATTAAATCAAGTGAATATATAAAAACAAGTGAATGGAATGGTAAAGTGTTGTATTTGGGCCCAAAAACCCCTGTGCACATAAAAGTACCCTTGATAATTTGAAGTTGATGAAGAATGGGTATAAAATGCCAATGTCCAGGTAAAATTCTCCTCTCTAGCATTACACATATAGAAACAACAAATACTGTATTTTAGTCTCAAAACGACATTAGAGAATCTTCATATGCCCCTTGACACTGTATACAAATTTAAAAGTATACTACATGTATATTTGTTGTTGTCAAACCAGAGACAATACAGGCTGTAATTATCAAGACTAATTTTTGGGGAATTTTTCTGTTGTAGTTTTCATACTCATAGTCGTATGTATATTACAAAGTATTAAAATATTTTGTCATCAACTCATGAAATAAACATCATTTCTATAATACTATATTAAATGGAGTCTGTTATAAATAATACAGCACTTTCTTGCCGTATTGGGTAACTGGGAGCCATGGTTGCTTGGTGAGTAAGGGACGAAAAACTCATGTCCAGTGTGTAGGTGTTGGCGTGCACATGGAAGAACCCTTGGCAGTTGTAATTCGACAAAGTGTGGGGGGGAAATGCCACTGTCTGGGCAAAATTCCACTGATAGCTCACAGCATCTAGTCGTTCGGATGGGATGGGACAAAAAAATCTTGTTAGAATTTAATAATAAAAAAATATGTGGATACACCACTGCAATGGGCAAATTTTCCCATCTCCATTAGCTAGCTTTGTGCAGAAAAGTAGGAAGTTAAATTTCATTTTATTTCAGATCATTCAACCACCCAAACAACAATATTTTTCGGTTTCAAAATGGGTAAATTAATTATCTGTCCCTAATTCCAACCAATGAAAGACATATCTAAATATTTGTTAATCTCAATACAACCTAGTAAACGTCATTTCTATCTCTACACATAACGTGCTTTTTACATCCCCATATTTCTTCCCTGTCTAGCAAGGAAAGTTCTCATCCGATAACATAGTGATGTTTGTGTCGTGAGCAAAAAAAACTTGATTTTCAACGATTTCGGATAAATTCATGTAGAGTTATGACCCTTGGGCATTTTGAAAAATCGTGTGGATACGCTACCGCCTGATGAGTGTCAATCTTTTTTGACCACTGCTTTCGGCAACCATCTTTCTCAAGTTTATGCTTCCATTTTCCACGGTGATTACCCCAAGCTTTTGGTGCGTGTGTTATTTTATTACTTCCCAAGGGAAAGAAGACCTAATTGAATTTAATGTTTTGTGTGAATGTGTTGATGAGAGGTCAAAATGCAAATATATACACGAGTTCAAGTTCACGGCCACACCCACCCAACCCTTCATTGAGGAAAAATGATATAAGCGTAACAATTGACTGAAAGACATGCCGAGAATAATTGTCATAATAGTGGAAACTATATGCTGTGTCACGTCACACATGAATAATGAAATAGGTCTAGCTCTCTGTTACCTTCTATACATATTAGTCGTGTTTGTGAAATATAAAGGGATAATTTTAAAAGATTATTTATGATCCACTGTCAAAGATCATACTGCCAGTGTGTTCACAGAACGACTTGATGTGCATGTGGGTACCGGTAATAGCTCTATTTAACGGCCGCTTCCAACGAAGTGATGGGCATCGATGCCAGGCGTGAAATATCGCCTGTAGATAGAGTACAACATTTTCCAGACAACCGTGACGTTTCTTCATTAGCTCGGTCGGAACAGAACAGCAGGACGTTAGACCTCATTTCATTTCGTTACTTATGCCCGACAATACAGATAAATTCCAACATTTCAGATGTATATTGTAACATTTCACCCACCCCTTCAATAATTTCACGTTTATCTAATTATACAGATCTCAAACTAATTTGAACACCCCCCCCCCCCTTTTTTTTTTATTAAAATACAACTGCTCGGGTCAGTCTTTTACATAAATTCCAAGACAATACCAAAAGTGAAATTACTCTTTAACTATTGAATACAATGCGTCAGATCATTCAAAGGCTTTAAAAGGCAAACGAAGACCACGCGACACTTGGTGGGAATTTGAACAATCTTCATTATATAGATAGGTATTTATTTACGACACCAGACATGCATACAAATATGTCCCGTATTATACGCTTTGAATGAACCTCAATGAGTAATTTAAATATATAAATAATCTATTAACTATTTATAGGGAGACCATTTTAAACGAACAAAAACACCGATTTAAAAAGTTAATTATTTAATAATTTTATGACTGTTATAGTATCGCTTAAAATCTCTATTAAGAAGTGTTCGTCTATTCCACTAAACATCACAATCTTTCACTTTAAAATCGCTCTGTAGTCTTTCACTTTAATATCTCTATACACAAAATACTTTCACTTTAATATTCCAAAAACTGTAGTCTTTCAATTAAATATCTATAACACTTATATAGTCTTTCACTTTAAGTGTATGTGACTTTAATATATGTAACACTGTAGTCAACTGGCGTGGTTTCGATTCCCCGGTTGTACATGACAAGGAGTAGAGTCGCCTGTTCAACCCTGTGGGTTTTCTCCAGGTCCTCCGGTTTCCTCCCACTGCTAAAAACCGCTACGCGCTAGCGATTTATTGAAATAAAATTGAAACATATGTTAGTCCCGGAATGACTTAGTTTGTGTCGAGTGGACGTTAAACCCCATTTATCTCTTTCTCTCTTCTCTAAATGGAATTGACGGAATCCTTTACGAAAAATGAAACGCTTCGCATGAAACGTTTATTAAATGTTCTTAAATATCTTTGCAAGATTATAGTAACGTTTTTTTATACTACGCATGTAAAAAAAACGTTTAAAAATTATGTTGTAATATAGAATTATTCACAATTTTAAAATGTAACCAGCGGCTGCCAGACAGTATACGCCCACATTTTGCAAGAGATGGATAGAGAACAAGCTAAAAACAAAAACGATTTTTTGTACAATCAGGGGCCATAATTCAGAAAGTTATGGGCTGAAATGCGCAAATATCAAAAGGGACTGAGATTTTTACAATATAAAAACATGTTTTAAGTTTCATCAAAACTGAATAAAAATTGTGACCTCTAAAGGGTCCATTAACCTTAAAATACCATATTTTTACACTATTTGCGTATTTACGCAAACTAATGAAAAATAACCCGGGCAGCTTGTACAACAAAGTCAACAGCAATAATTTCAAAGATAAAAAAACTTAAATTTAATTTCACTCTTTCACTGGATGCACCCCCCCCCCTCCTCGCTCCCTCCCCTGAAATGGACACCTTTCTGCACGCCCCTCTCCACCCCATCGCCTTAGCCCTTTCGTTGTCCATTCACAACACCATAGTCTTCCCCTTTAAAATCGTATTGCTATTATTTACCCTATTCCGCAATCCTTTCATTATTTAAAATTATCAGTTATCTTTTTTTTATATATTTCTATCTGGTTTTTCCAATTACTATAGGGCCGCGTGACAAATGGATATTTGAGATGTTAATTTTTTTTCGGAATTTTAAGTGTTTCCTGAAAACCCGTTTTATATAAATATAAAAGAACACGTGTACACTAAAGCTTTTTTTGTGATGAGTAAAAGAATTACCCATTTTTCAAAATAAAATGTTTTAAACATCCCTTTATTTACACCTACGCAATAAACATTTATCAATGCTCATCAAAGGACTACATAACCTTGGATTGTTTTTTGATTCTTTTTTTGTGAAAAAGTGGATATGGTGAAGCATTTCTTTGTTTTCCCGAAAACAGACCTGAAATAGAAAGGCTTATAAAAATGCATCAATTTCAGTTTCACGGACAATATATATTTATTTTTATTAGACAATGTTATTGCACAAATTAAATAGGGTTTAACGTCCTACTTTTCTGCTGCATCCGTGCTAATTAAGACGGGCATACGTATGTGTGCTATGAGGAAAATTTTGCCCGGATGCCCTTATACTCGTATTACTCACAGAGCCACCGTGGCTCCTACAACAACACATAGACAAACAATTGAAAATGAAATGAAATGGGGTTTAACGTCCTACTGTTCTTCTACTAAACTGGGCTAATGAAGACGGGCATACGCCATACAGTGTGCTATGAGGGAAATTTTGCCCGGGCAGCGGCGCTACGGCCTACTCTTATATCGAATTCCAACTGCCAAGGGATCTTTTACGTGCATGCCAATATGTACGCGGGGCATCGGTTTTTTGTCCCATCCGAACGACTAGACAGCTGTCCTTGACAAACAATTGAAACAAGAAAATGCGACAAGTATACACACATTCCTATACAGGAAAGGTCGAGTTTATCGTCTACTGACACAAACTAAGTCATTTCGGGACCAACA